TTTCATGTGGAAATCTCAGGTTCAGTATGATGTTCCCCGTATGCCTATTCAGAGTGACCTCTTAGTATGGTAGTGAGAAGTTTGCAGTCAGAGTTAATGTAGAAATAATATTCACACTAGGATTTTTTGTTTAATTTTGGTATTGCCATGCTTAGGGTCAAATCCACGACTTCTCAATGTCTAAGAAAGCACTCTGCCCCTGAAATTGCTCTACATCAAGGTGATAGATCAGAGGACTTTAACTTAATAAAAAACCCTAAGTTAAGGTTTTGAATTCAGGGTGGGGCGTTAGCATATCTACATTTATTTTCATGGCACTTGCGTCGTGGGATACACTCCCTAAGTTTAGTAGACATAATTCCTTCCCAAGTCCACTCTAAATAGTTACATTTATACCTTCTTAAAATTGAGGCACCGTGTTCATTTGATTAGATAAGTCAAACTAAATGCAGAGGCAATAGCAATAGGTACAATGGAATAGATAGATAGATAGATAGATAGATAGATAGATAGATGATAGATAGATTATAGATAGATAGATAGATAGATAGATAGATAGATAGATAGATAGATAGGCAGGTAGGCAGGTAGATAGGTAGATAGGTAGATAGATATAGTCTTAAATTACATCTGCCTGTGAGAAACAGCCTATTAGAAAAATATTGTCAAAAATCTTAATTTCACATTTAATGAATGAAAGGAATTTCTAAATAGTGAACAAATTTTTAGGATAACATTCTTTCTTTTTCTCCTGCCTATAAAGTAGGTTTCTATGTGTCATTATGCCACATTCACTTCAGCTCACCAGTAAGTGATTGGAAGGCCTGCTCAAAGTAGTGGTAACAGAAACTCTTGACTCTGTGGCCAAGCAAGATGAGCTGACATTGCAAGCCCCAATTACATGCTTAGATAAATTGTGCTCACTATGTATTTTCTGTCCTGTTTTCATAAAATTTTCTGAAGGAAAATTGCGGCTATCATACGTGTTCTTTTTTTCTGAAGTATTTAAATTTTCTATCTTTTGGTAGTCTTCAGAGCAATGAGATACATCCTCCTGCTATTTAAAACTACCCTGGGGTCTCCTCAGCACTGAATTCTCTCTCCAGGGTGGGTCCTGATCATTTTCCTTATTAAAACGCCTTTGGCTGATACTGAACCTGTGCTGAGGACCAGGTTCTGGTCGCCACTACTTTAACTGTCTCTAGTCATCTGTGTGTCTTCATCAGAACAGATACAGCTACAGAACCACCCAAGAGCTAATATGATTGCTGTCAGGTTGTTGACGTTGTAAACCCACAAGGTGTTACCAAAATGCACCAGTATTTTAACTGTTAGTCCAACACTGACCTCACTCATGCACACTGCTCTATATGTGGGGAATGAGGAGTCAAGTTCGATCTCCGCCCTGTGTGGATACAGACTCCCCAGTTGTGTCCATCTCTTGGCTCACGTTGCCTTTTCATTTCCACGGCAATGAAAATTGAGCGTTGAGCCCTTGGTGGAAATTTACTTTGCTTTTGAGGCTAAGTAATTGCTTTCTCATTCTTGATCTATTCAATTATAGCAATTTCCAGTTTTACAGTCTTTCCCACAACACTCAGGTTAGAAGACTGCCAGATTTTTCCTCCTACGGAGAACCCATACAGGATATTTTTTTCAGGAGCCCAACTGGTGCTATATTTGATCCTCCAAAAAGCTTTCATTTGTCTGTGTGTATAAAGATACTGGTGTCCACAACTATGACTGTCCTACCCTTTCACGATGACATTCCTCTTCTTATTGGCTCTTTATTGATTTAGTCTAAAACTCCAACTTTTATCAATATTAATTAATTTATTTTTATGTGTGTGTGTGTATATATATATGTGTGTGTGTGTGTGTGTGTGTATATATATCCATCCCATATACATACACACACATGTATGTGTGTGTGCACATGCATGTACATATATACATATATTATCTTGTATGGAAAGATGCATATTTGTAAATGAAAACATAATTGCAAATAAAAACACACATGTAAATTTTAAATATAGAGTAAACATTGGTGATATATTGGGGCATAAATTTAAAACAATTTGATCGTAATTCCATGCTTCACACTGCCCTGTTTTGTAGCCAGTCCTTTGCACAGTATGCTTAGATAATAAATTTGATTAGGACGACGGATTACTTTTGTCCTCAGCGTTAATTGGAAATGGTAGTTGTGGTCAGATGAATCAAACAAAGTCACTCAGAAAAATATTAAATCTAGACAGCAATATTTTTGTTTTCCAGTGGTAGTCTTTCAAGTAAAAGTGCCAGGAGAAGGGAATGGGATTTGTCTCAACTTTGCTTCTTGCAAACCTACCATGAAATTGAGAAATATTTGTGAGCTCAAACCACATAGTAAAATTAGGCTTGTTCACTGGATTACTTCCTTACTTCTGATGCAGAGAAAGTTAGCTATCTTTGATGTATTCTTTGACATAATATGCCCCCCTTCCTTTCTCTCCCTCCGTCTGTCTCTCCATCTTTCATTTTCTCTTTCTCTCTCCTTCCCTTGCTCCCTCCCTCCCCTTCCTCCCTTCTTGAAACCTCTCTTCCTTTCTTCCTCCAATGAGAATGAGGATTGAACACAAATCCTGGTACAGATTAGGCAAGCTCACGATATTTAGTGTGTGTGTGTGTGTGTGTGTGTGTGTGGTGTGTGTCTTTGTGAGAGAGAGAGACAGAGAGAGACAGAGAGAGACAGAGAGACAGTGAGAGATAGAGAGCGAGAGACAGAGACAGACAGACAGAGACAAAGACATGGTCATGAGCCACCTGAAGTGGGTTCTGGAAGCAGAACTCAGGGCTCTGGAAGAGCAGGAAGCACTCTTAACCCTCAGCCATCTCTGCAACCTCATCACCATCTTTATTTTTCAGAAAACAATATAAATCACAAGTCTTTTTACCGTGTGGGCTTTCTCTTTGTTTCCCAAGCCTCTTTAATGCCTTTCAGCCTCACTACAAGCTTTCTCTGCTCTTTCTATGCAAGGAGCTCTCAGTGTGAAGGGGGAAGTGACATTCTATGAGAAGCTCATTCACTCATTGAATTGTTATTTTATGGGTTCCTTCCAAGTGTATTTAAATTTAAACCCTTGGAAAATAATAGCAGAATGCGTTTGAGTGGTTATAAAATATATACAATAGGGTAATATGAAAGATATTTAATGAGTGGGGGTTTACATTTCTTGCTTTCTGAGAAATAAGAGCATGAAGCATCAGGAGAATCCCTGTAGGTATGAGTAAGTACGAGAGAGGGCCCTAAGGACTTACTGATAGGTACCATCAATAATCAGGGCTGAGGAACCTGGAAGATCAGATTAGGTTTAGGAAGCACGAAGACTCCTCCTCACTGCTCTGTGAAGAAAGAACCAAAACGAAACCTCAGAGCTATTTTTCTGTATGAGTTAAATATTAGACATTGACCCACTGAGGTCTTATATGTATCCAGTGTTCATTTTAATTGTTTTAAATAAAAAGCTGTTTCTGCGATTCATGTTAAAATGATTTATTAAATGATGATCCATAGGAAATTTCTTCAAATGAGTGAAATTAAAAAAAACACACACACGCAGAAAGAACAAAATGTTATGTTGTACGGGATATCCTGCTTAGATTATCCATGTCTTTGAAATGTATGGGACAGGATGTCTTAAAATAAAATGCCATATTGTTGTTCAAACTTATCTATTTTAATGTTTACAATGTATCATTCCAGTCTTAGTTACAATTTTACTGTAATATCTTTTTAAATTTAAAAATGTAGCTGTTTAATCCTGCTGCTAATCGGGACAGCTCTCTGGGGTTTGGAGTTGTGGCACCACTATGTGTGACTTAACTTGTCGCTGCCTGAATGTCACTGTGCTTCCCATTGTCCTGGGGTTCCTTGTGCTGGGGGATCTACTTCTCTCAGACTGCTTTACAGTGCTATTTTATACTTCGGTTATTTTATGCACCATAGACTATTTGGTATTCAAATTGTTGAATAAATTTTATAATAATGCCCTGGTTCTGCTTGCTTTGCGTTCTTAATGTATAGACTATCGAGAAGCGTAATGAAACTCCTGCAAACATTCCATTCCACTGTGTTGTAATCAAATCAAATTAGACAAGAAATAGTTCTTGCTTTTACAAAGCTTAAGAGAAGAACATCTGGGCCCACTTACAGAACTTAAACATCGTCCTGCCTGGAATCCCAGCCTCATTCCAGGATCCTTGGTGACTCATTGACAATGATGGCAACAAAGAGAATCCCTCTGTAGAGTGACATATAGGATGAATGTCTCCTCTTCTGGGGATCTCATTCACAGCTTTGTTTGTAATATTAACTCTCGGGGCATCCGATGGAGAACTGGGTGCACAGTCATAGCACAGACAGAAGCACGGCTTCTATGAGAAGCAGCAGCAGTGCGTAGACATTCACTGTGCTGGTGGGTATTTTCAGTGCCTCTGTCATCTCTGCAGGCATCCCATGCACGGTGGAAAGTACTAGCAAGCACCTCATGTTTGTGAGTGTAGGCAGTGCCTGTGTTAAAACATGTAACATAAAGGCCTGTAGAGTATGGTATCTGGGTCTGTGTATGTTCAGGTATGTTGTGACAATTCTCTGCTTAGTTGTTCAGTATACCACCCTGTGTTTGCTTGTACCTTTTTCTGGTTGTAATTTTTTAATTCTTAAATACATTATCAAGTGGCCTGGTGGGTTATCCTCTCTGAACTTAATGGATATTACAAGACTCTAAGTTAAAACCTAAGAGTATCATATATTTGGAGGCTACCAACTCTTTTTACTCCTAGTTAAAATTTAGTGTGTCCCTGGATATAGAAATTAAAATACAAAGAAAATACGACTTTTATAGGGACATCTAATACCACCTTCATATTTTGGTTCATGATTCAGCTCTGTATTATATTTCCCAAGTATTAAAATACATATTGTCTCACAGGCTTGAATGATTTCTGTTTTCCAGGTGCAACAATCGAACACAGTGTGTAGTAGTTACCGGGTCAGATGTATTTCCTGATCCATGTCCCGGAACTTACAAATACCTTGAAGTTCAATATGAATGTGTCCCTTACAGTAAGTATGGCGTTTGCATTTTCTCCTTTCTCCAGCATTTCTTGTTGGAGCTGAAAGACTACCCATGTGAAAGAAGCGTATGTTTATGGCCTACAGAACCATTATGCATGCAAAGCACTCTCTGCCTTGGGATTCCAGTGTGGAAGAAAGCCATCTTGTGATGCTGGCCAAGTGTCTGTCTGTGTTCTTAAGTGTTTGGCTTTTAAGGCTAGTGTTTTTCCAGAAAACAAACTTGAATTAGCTATTCAGTAGGGCAGATAGAAATCTGTACTTTTGCCCAATACCAGTTGCCGACAAATTGGTTTGGCTCACAGTTTTCTGAAGAAAGGATTGACTTCAGGTTTAATCCTGAGGGATTTGAATAGCTACCTGGTGTCTTGGAAACATGAATGCTTGGTAAGAGCTTCCAGAGCAGAGACTGAGGCGAGAGTTGTCCCTGAAGGAAGGCGTTCTTTACCACATTCAGTGAGGAAGTCTCAATGCTTAAAACAAAGCCAAGAGCACAGACGGATCAGACAAGAGTTTTTACCATTTTCTATTTTTTAAACTGTTAGATTGTGTCTAAGATTTAAAATTCAATTGGAAATTTATAAGCAGAATCAGTAGTTTCCTTTTCAGTATTGGAATGCATAACTCCCCCATTAAAGTTCATATGTGGGATAGAGGAGAAAATACCTTAGTAGTTTAGACAACCTAAAAGTTTGAATATGTTGACTAATTGTCACAAGCAAGTTTAGAAGTCCCTTTATTCTTTGCCTTGTTGAATGACAATTTAGTGTGTCACATCAGTGCAGAGGCCTGTGAAAAGGGAGTGATAGGACAGTAGTGCCACTGATTTGTAACTCTTTTCTAAACATTCCACCTTGAGAGAAAAGGGGACAGACAGACACTTGGAGTGAGGTGCTATGGTGTATGTGTATCTGTAGTCCTAGGAGGGAAGCAGAGGCATCAGGATGATTGAGGTCATCCTGGGCATCATAGAGAGACAACCCCCTTCTCAATATAAAAACCCTAAAAGGCCAAAGTCTGCTAAATACGGCAGGTCCAGACAGTTGATGGCATCCTCTAGCATAAACTGTGAAGATCCACTGCCCTCTCTGCCACAGTTTTGATAAATTGATTTTGAGTGTGACTTGTGTGTGTGTGTGTGTGTGTGTGTGTGGTGTCAGTTAAAGGCCAAACACAGATTATCTTTCTCTTCTCGTCCCTGTTCTGTGTTCTTGTGTTACATGAAACGGATGCACTTGGTTATTTTCAATATCTTCTGTACCATTTGTAGGACTGGAAGCCCCCGACTTGCTCCTGTGCAGTGCGGTGGCTTTACTTAATCACCCTCCTGTGCCACTACATGAAAACTGTATTCTTTTGAGCTAACCGAAATTTTTGTTCCATGAAGTCCCTCTCCCTTGAATTCAGCCTGGTCTCTGTCCTCAAATTAGACGAGGACTACAGCCTCCATTCCTAACAGTGGAGCCCGGTCAGAGCTGCCAAGAGTTGTGTCTTTCTGCGACCTGGTTCCTGTTAACCTAGTCTAAGACACCAAGAACAGTGTTAAGCGAATATTACTTTCAGACTCTTTAAGTAATTTCTTGCGCTGTCTAAGAAAGAAAAATGGGGATATCTTCTGGAACATCTAACTTTCAAAATTTTACTTTTCCAGTTCTCCAGAAGTATTGTATATTGTGCACTAAACTTGCAAATAACTCTACTCAGAGAAGTATCTGCTCTTTTTTTTTTTTAATTTAGTTTTTGTCCTTCAAAATAAAAAGTCAACCCAGTAATTAATTTGCTGTTGCCTTTCTAGATGTTTGGAAGAGGCAGATATAAGTGAATGACTTTTTTTTCTTTTTGAAGACTGGAAGTGGTCCTATATACCGTACAGTAGTGACACACTATAAACTGCATGATTTCGGCTCATCTTCAGATGTAATGCAGTCTTATAGATTCCTCATAGTTTTACGTAGATCCTTATTGCTTCCTACTCTCCCATCTCCTCCTTCCTTATGCTCCTGTCTGTCTCCTTATGCTTGCTTTTGTTTCAAGGGTCCAGCCTTGACACTCCCCTTTTTTTAACAGTGCATTTGCTTTTCTGTAGCCTTTACATTGTCCTTTTCTCACATTACCTAGATAAAACAGTGTCACCATCATATCAAGCCTATCATGCACGCCTTACCACTTGGCTTTACCTCAGTCTGTCCGTAACTAATTCTGCAGGACCCTCATGTACTGCAAACAACTCCATCCCGTTCTAAACAATTTCATCGGCTTTCCATGACTTCAGAAAACACAGCAGTAAATATACTCAGCAGAGAACATTTGAAACGCCCCTCTTTGGTTTGCCAACAGGCGGGTGCTTTCTGTGTGACCTTTCATCCAGGTAACACTGTAGCAAAATCACACACATGCAAGACATTCTTCCTCGTGTACATTTCAAAAGTCATAGGGACTTTCCAGGAAAAATGGGATTGGCCAGACTGGAGTTTCACATGCCATAAGCAGGCCTTGGTTACTTTTCAATCTCGTGCCTATTTATTTTTAAATGGTCACAGTATGTAAGAATTTTATCTGAATGTTACCTACAAGTTCATTTGATAAGAAAATTGCATTTATGTTGTTGAATTAAATTATTCATTGAATAAACGTGAGATTATTTCACATGAAATAGTGTGTCACTTCAGATGCAGAGTATGTAGGCGGTAGTTGATGTGGGTCAGTTTCTTTCTTGTGCATCCACGGAGTCCTCTGCTGATGTTGATGTGTGTGTACTTGTCCATTTGGTCCACAGAGGATTAAATATAGCCTTGTAAATTAATTCATATTGCCTCCTAAGACAAGTTGCATATATTTGGCATGTGATTGTGACTGCAGATTATTTTTAATTTTATTGTATTTTTATAGTCATCTGGTAGATAGAATTTTGGCTGATCTGACAGATAGCTACACTTTTTGATTTCATAAAAATCTTTATATGGAGACTTTTCCTTTTGAAAAATCCATCCATCCATCATCAAAGGTTTTACTTACATTTTTAAAAAGTGTTACCTTTGGTTATAATCTCTCACTTTTCATTTGGATTTGAAATTGTATACGGTTGATACCCATCCTCCTTTTCTTTTTCATGGTATGATTCAAATCATAAAGAAGTGAAAACATTTCTGTTTTGGGTTTCTCTCATTGACTGCTCTGTCATTTTACTGCATCAGTTAAAAATAATGCAGTAATCTTTAGTGGATGGATGATACTGTGTACATTTCTTACATTTTTTTTAAATTGAACTCGAAATTCTCTAGTCTATAAGTAAGCATCATTAGAAGCATTATTCACGTCCTTTATACATAATTGCCTTACGTGAGTAAAGTCCTTGGTTCCTTAAGGAACAATACAGCTGTCTATAAGTACAGTCTGAGTGAACAGTCTGGATACTACTGACCTCTCTTGTGCCCTTCGTCCACTATGCCGGTCCTTTATTGATTCTGAGCAGGTACAATGTGCTCCTTATGGAGGAGTGGTGTTAGGACGAACACTACATAAACAAGAGTTGCTTTCAAAACACTCCCAAAACGCACGTGTTTCCCTCCTCAGTCGGAATTGCACAGATCAGAGCAAATGTGTTTCCCCGAAAGTGCTTAAATAGACCATAGGTTGTGCCTTAATTTAGAAATTATATCCTGTTGCCATGGCAAAAAAAAAAAAATTAAAAAAAATATTTGTGTGATGTTTCTCTCAAAGGAGTTCCGGAGGATCCCTGTTTTATCTTGACGAATACTTATAATTCTAAAAAATATGTAATCAAGCTGAGATTGTAATAAAATGTACACGTGCACTCTGGTTAATCGGTAGTCACACACTGATGCCTTTTGAGAGGGAAGAAGACAAAACCCAGTGGAATCATTTCGTAGCACGCAGGCAATATACTTCAGAGCCCACATTCACTCACGGTTATATCATGTGGCCCTCATTGTCGGAGATCCTGTCAATGAGAATTTTATCGGCACTTTCCCTAGTGCGTAATTCACCTTGGTAACCACACAGGGCTTCTCCTCGCCCTTACTCTCCTGTCCTGCCCTGTCCAGGTCTGCCCTGTGAAAGTCTTTCCCTTTCTTGGGGTCTGTGGATCGAGGTACTTGCTGAGAATGCTGGGTATGACGGTTGTTGCATGCTAGCCTGCTTTCTATGTAAATAAATGATGGTAGATAAAATGTCCTAAGAAGCTAACCATAATTCTTTCTTCCTTTTTTTCTCCCTGCAACCTGTGCTTGCTTTTCCCTTGTATGTATTTTGCTTACTTTTTTTTATAGACTTAATATTGCAAGTTTGATAATATATTGTATATGATGTAGAAAGTTAATTAGAATGTGTAGTTTGAACTATATGTAATCTTAAGTAAATTTGCTAATATTTAGCGGGTGTTATTTACCCTTTCAAAATCTCTATTGGGTGAGGGGAGACTTCTAGACTCCTGGAAAGGGAGAATTTTGTTAAATGGGTAAGACATTTTTCTAGAAATAGGAAATAATAGAAAAATAATTAAAGTGTACTGAGATGCATGGTTGTATAGTTTTTTCTTATCTGAGTATCTCTGGGAGGCAGTTGAGCCACCTCAATATTTATTAAATTTGACTTAAACTCCAGAGGCAAGTTGTGAGCCTTACACACGTATTTTCCTTCCATGTTTATGTAATTAGAATCAGCTTGATAATTGAGTTCCTAGATACCAAATGGAGATGACACACCTGTGCATGCTTCTATGTCTGTACTGTTCATATACGTATATATGAAGGAGCCTGGTCAGGATGCAGGGTGGCTTTGGCAAGGCAAGCGTATGTTTAGTTTGCATTAGTGGAGAGTTTCATTATTTATTCAGGCACACTAAGTGAAGCAGCATGCCAGCTTGTTTGTATTGCCTCCTTAATCTACTAAAATGATCGCTCCGTGTTCTCTTATGTAACTTTAGAATCTCTCTCCTGCTAGGTTCTCCTGTGTTTCTCTTTATCCAAAGTAGTACAGCACCCCTATTCTTCCTATATTTAGCATCTATTACGAATTCAATCTTAAACTAATAGTCAATTTATTTTTAATCTTTTTTTTCTTTTTTTTTCCCTTGCACCTTTTTTTTGTTTTATTTTTCTTCCGATGCTTAAAATAGAAGTGGAGCAAAAAGGTAAATACTGTCTACAGTCTCAACCCCAGCTCCCTGTCATGTGCCTTATGGATGTGGCCCTCCTCCCTTCCCTGTCCCTGCTATACTCCTGTATTACAATGATCAGCAGGACCTCATAATGCACCTCATAAAGGCGTCAGCTGTTCACAATGAAATTGTATGACCGCTAAATCTGGCGATGGGGTAAAATTCGGAAGTCGGCGAAGGGGAGCTGCCCTCTCTGTTTCTTTTCTACCCTCTGTCTCTTTCTCTGACACCCTTGGATATTTTCTTGTTATTGAAGCGTCCTCTTGCCTGGCTTCCAGAACCCTCTCCGTAGCATGCCATGGTTACAGGGTCTCCTGGTCATCTCATCACGCTTCCCCTGTGTTGATTTCTCTCTGATCCCGATTGCATACTCCTCAAATTTATAGTCTCCAACCTGAAGCACCTGTAACTTCTCTAGAATGTTCAAAATAAGTCTTCGCACTGAGTTTTCTGCCTTATTCACTCTGTTCCATGGGAGGTGGTGAAGGTGGATCAGGCTTAGAAGTCATAACGTTTGGATTAAGACAAAATGCTCATCCATTCATAAGCACAGGCTCCAAATTTGGTTGCATTCACTCCCAAATTATTAGATAAAGACACAATTCAGAAATCTAAATTTTGTCTTAGCAGTGAGCCATCCTAAACATAGGTTTGTATTTGTGAAAATAAAGGCCAGCCATCATGCTTGCTGGTATCTCGATTAGAAGAGCGTTGGAAAACAAGGCTAGTGTGTATAAGGTATAAATTTTTAAAGATTGAATGCCGGGTAAAATGTATTTTCCTCTTGATTTGTGATCAATTAAATGTGTGGTGACCTGTGTCATTTTCTTTTAACTTTATTCACTTCTTGACTTTTTTTTTTTTCTGTGACGTTAGTCTTTGTGTGTCCTGGAACCTTGAAAGCAATTGTGGACTCACCCAGTATTTATGAAGCTGAGCAAAAGGCAGGTGCTTGGTGCAAGGACCCTCTTCAGGCCGCAGATAAAATTTACTTTATGCCCTGGACTCCCTACCGCACCGATACTTTAATAGAATATGCTTCTTTAGAAGATTTTCAAAACAGCCGCCAGACAACAACATACAAACTTCCAAACCGTGTAGACGGTACTGGATTTGTGGTGTACGATGGAGCTGTCTTCTTTAACAAGGAAAGAACAAGAAACATTGTTAAATTTGACTTGAGGACTAGAATTAAGAGTGGCGAGGCCATAATCAACTATGCCAACTACCATGATACTTCACCCTACAGATGGGGAGGGAAGACAGATATTGACCTCGCAGTGGATGAAAACGGCTTATGGGTCATTTATGCCACCGAGCAGAACAATGGAATGATCGTGATCAGCCAACTCAATCCGTACACACTTCGATTCGAAGCAACCTGGGAGACGGCGTATGACAAGCGTGCGGCGTCCAACGCTTTCATGATATGTGGGGTTCTCTATGTGGTCAGGTCAGTGTACCAAGACAATGAAAGCGAAGCAGGCAAGAACACCATTGATTACATTTACAACACGCGGTTAAGCCGGGGAGAGTATGTAGATGTTCCTTTCCCCAACCAGTACCAGTATATCGCCGCAGTGGATTACAATCCACGAGATAACCAGCTCTACGTATGGAACAATAACTTCATTTTACGGTATTCTCTGGAGTTTGGTCCACCTGACCCCGCCCAAGGTAAGACTCTTTGCTGTTAGTTCTCTGGGATTTGAACTGCTTAGGATTTTAGAATTTTTCCCAATCATTTGTCTTCCTCTCATGGTTGAATCACAAAAGATGGTCTGATATATTACAGCCCTGTTTGGTAGAGTTTTCTTTTACTCTGTATTTTCAGTTACAGGTTGGCTCCAAGTAATGATAGCATTACTCAGTTAGGCTCACTGCAAAGCGTATAGTAACACCTCCAGTCTTGTTAATGCCTTTCTTCCTTACCTGTATTCTGAGCTGATTCCAGTGTGTGCTAAGACCTTTTAACAGCTTGGCACCAGTGGGTAAGGCAAATATGGAAAGAGATGTCCCAAGGCAATGAATAGGTGTGACACATGTGGCCAGGGCTGTGTGTACTGAAGTTTTCACAGGGTGGGAGAGGGCATCTTCAAACTTCTTTCTCTTCCATCCTGTAAACTTACAGTGAGCGGCCATTCTAAGTCAGCGTTTCTGTAACTCTAACTGGAACACACAGACTACAGGTCTGCGTGATTCCATGTGGGCTATGCTAACTCTGCTCGTGTCTGCTCTATTTGCGTCCCCTGCAGGGATATTTAAGAAGGACGATTATTTTAGAAATTTAGATTATTTTAGAGTTATATTCTGATTTATCAAGTGATTTCAGTTCCATGAGAAGTAGGTTCTGTCTGTAATTACATCAACATTTCACTTAAAAAAAATTATCCCATACTCAGGATTAAAGAGTGAGTAACTTGTCAATGTATTACATAGTGTGTACTAATGGTATCTTTCCAAATGAATAGTGGTGTGGGTTTAAGATACAAATTAATATTTCAGTTTACTGGATAATTTGAAGTTTTCAAGTTTGGAAGTGACTCAAAAAATGAAAAACCAAAATAGTTGTCAAATTATGAAATTAATCTTTTCACCAAGGTGAATTTTTACCCTTTCATAAAGGTACTACACTTAGCTACACTCACCATCAATAACATACGAACACTTATTCTTAGATATGTTATTACTAAGCCCTAAATACTATTTTATGGCCACAACCTTAAAAGGGAAAATCAGAGCTTTTTCATAACTGAACTTCAAGTTTGAATCTTCAAAGAGTACCAAAAGATGTGTCCAGTTTTACTTGGAAAGAAAGACCATTGGTGGCAGGCAGATGAAGACACGCCTGGGTTCTTGGTTTAGAAATGTGGCTGGGAAATTCTGCTGTTAAATTTTCAACAGGGAAATGTCGTTTACCAGCTTAAGTTTTTACTGAGCTTCTTAAAATAATTCGTTTTGAAGTATACAATGTCTGTTTTCTCTGGAGACCAGTAGTTTGGGATGGTTCATGCATCTCGATCTTTCTGAAAGCTAACTCCACTGATTCTGTTTCATCTTTCCAGCCTCTACTCAGCTTCAGCATCGGCTAAAATTGTATCGATCCCCTGTTCACCTTTTTTGTAGCCTACTCCACCCTGACACCCTGTTACATCTGTTTTGGGTGGCAGAAAATCTTTCCCCCTTGTTCAAGGGGGGAGGGGTGGGAAAGGTGGAGAAGGAGGAAAAGGAAGGAAGTTGTTAAGCCAGCCTTAACAACTACAAATTCCTAATCAGACAAGAATTGAAAGGTCATGAAAGATGTATAGTTTCTGTTCATTGAGTATAGGTCCAGTCACCACAGCACAATGACGCACCCACTTGTTTCATTAAATCTAAGAGCACCGGCTTGCCCGCATGTGATCTATGTGCTAATACAGTTTGCCGTGCCATTATAGTCAAGAAGGCTTTGCTAATTGAGGTGTTTTTCTGAAAGAGTACTTGCTAGTGTTTAATATGAGGCACGCAGCCAGTGAGCATTCCCACGACAGTGGTTTCTCCTTCCAGATAGTTAGCCATTCTTCCATATTCCCAGAACATAAAAATTCATATTGACCCCTTATTAAACCCTAAGTAATAAAACATTTTACCTGACCTAAATTTTTCTTGCTGCCGTTTGACCCATATTCTTATTTGCTCTCCTTATAATGTATCTACTTACACTTCCAGAGACTCGTTTCTCTCTTCTGAGGTCTGTGCTTTATCAGCCTGAAGGTGGCGTCTCCCAGAACTATCCTGGCCAGTAAATTAAGGTCAAACTAACAAGGCACATGTAGCTTTCCAGAAGTCAGAACCAAGAAATGGATAAGGCAAGGGATGGAGCGACCAGAGGAATTAGGTCTTTGTTTTACACAAGCCAAGACTGGCTCGTGTGGCTAAAACCCGTAGTTAAGTCTTAATGGGTGGGGTTCTCATGAAGCAGATGCTACAGGATTTAAGACAAGCCTAGCCTGTATAACTGATAAAACAAAACAGAAGTACAAAGGCTGCGGATGTTACGTGGCAAACGGAACAAAGGGTCCTGAGAAAGCATCATTCTTTTCTCGTGCTCGTGGAGCTTGCTAGCTCATCCCTTCCAACACTGCTCTCAGTGATGGCTCAAGCCACTCCAGCTTTTGATGCCAGAAGTGTAGTATTTCTGTCTCCTGAGATTTTTCTATACATATTTGAATATTTGGCTTTTCTTCTCCACCGTGAGTCATTGTTGTTGTTGTTGTTGCTGTCTTAAACTACATCAAATTTGGTCTGTCTAGAACAGGTCTCAGAAAAAGAAAAAGTAAAAAACCTTTTTGGGCCTGTTCTAACTCTCCAGTCTATCCGTATAATATGATATTTCTTACTCTTCCTATAGATCTGATATTCCAAATACTAACAACAAAATAGTCCTATCCTTACTTAGTGTGGAGCAGTTCCTGAATATTTGTTTGTCTTGACTATGAAAAGCCTGATAATTATGTAGCAGGAGGTCATACATAAGCAAAGGAGCTGTTTTGTTATGTGTATAAAATATTCAATATATCACATCTTCTAAATATCTTCCCACTGATAGTAAACACTCTTCATACAACAGCATGAGGGTAAATTTAATGGATGTGCGCTTTTTCTCACCAACTTGGATAGTATCTAGCTGGAGATCATTCATTCGACAGTGTCTGAACAATCAGACTTGGTAAGAATATCACTACCCTTACGCACTGTGATACTGTTCTCAAACCGGTAGAGGACGAGCCTGGCAATCCACACTCATCCCTGGCTTCCTCGGTAGACACAATCTTTTTCTACTCATTAAAGTCTTCCTGGGTACCAGTCAATGTGTTAGCACTGACTCTGGTATCACTAAAACGCTGCATGGTAATGAGAGTGCTAAGTCAGCCCAACTGAATGTTTGCTAGGACGCCCTGGAAAACCGAACCTTGTAAAAAAAAGGGGTTGGTATCCATATTACAATTCTGTTTTGTGTTGGTCTTTGGAGAGTGTTCTCAAAGTCTAAACCTTTTGTCATATTCATGATGAAACTTGGACTTTCCGTGTCCCAGAATACAGGCACATTGCTATATAGGGCTGTCCTTTTCTTGGTCTTTGAACAACCTCTTACCTAGAAAGGTAAGATCAAACATTTAATATGATAACCGGGTGACCTTAAACCGGTTACCTGACTTCTCCATGACCAGGCTTCCATGTATATGCGAAGACTTGCTCTATTATTGACCCAGGCTGCGGGTTGTCATGACATCTGACTGAATGCTGAAGAAATACCAGCAGCTTTTATCATTGCCAGATGCCCCGCCTCCATTTGTCTCTACTCGTTTCTTTGAAACACCTCTTAAAAATAAAAACTTACGCCTTGAGGTATCACCAAATTTCAGTCTACCAACATCCCACAAATTCTAGTTACTCCCTATGGTTTGATATATTGATGAAGAGTATATGAGTGCCCGGCTGCAGCATGCTCCCTGAGAGGTTTGTAAATCCAGTGGAGATCCAGTTATTTGCATCGCCTGGGTCTTTACTGATGCTTAGCTTGCAGGGAGTACTTGTGGTATTAATACGTATGTGAGTGGTCCCCTGTGTACCGATTAGTATAGTGTCAGGGGATGCCTAAGGTGCTGTAACTCTGAGGCGTTTTGTCCTGCCCTTTGCTCTGTTCTCCCTGATTCCTGGCTCCCTCCTGGAGACTTGATTCCGCTGCAGTCATCTGACACTTTTGCTAAAGATTGTGGTGCTTTGACAAATGTTAATTGAGAACGCGCTGAAAGCCTCGCTGCATTGTAATCGAAAGAAAATTACACAGGTTTAACTAGATGTCAGGAGGATACTTTCACAGACAGAGATGGACAGGTTTGAATAGTTTCCACAGCAGCTGGCTAGCCATGTTGTTTGACTGATGTACATAGAAGCCTCTCGTACGACCAATCATTTTAGCTCAGAAATAAAACACGTGCTTAAAAGTTTCCCAGTGAGATGGGAGGGGGAGGAAAACCTAAGTGTGATATATTTAATGAGAACTAGAAGTTGGCTACACCTAAAACCCCAAAAATATATACATCTTTTATTATCATCTTAGCATGCTTTCAGCCAGCGAGAATTAATTACATAAATATTTTTAAGACAGAGCCTCAAGTATTAAATAAACATAGGAGTGGTTTTGAATGTACTTTTCAATTTTGTAGTTTGTTGTGTATAGGTAAAACAAAAATGTTTTTAGTTCACATATGTTCATTGTACATAGAGATAGATTTCAGTAAGTTATTCTCATTTGAGCATATCAGTGTTTTTATAACTTAAGAATAACTTGTGGATCTTAAATTTGAGGCAACCTACATGTAAGATTTTAAGAATAAATTTGTAATAACTCTAAATATAGATAAAGATTTTGGATATTTTCTCACAGATTATAAATGTCACTATATTTTTGCGACATTTTTTTAATGCTTAGTTATTAAAGGAGAAAACAATTGAGCATTCTTATTTTAGAATCTGCTTGATTTGACTACTTAAAAGCAATTTTAGAAGACAAACCCTTTCCTTACAACAATTTCTTTTTGTTTATTTTGAAATGTGTGACTATAGTTCTTTTTGTGTTGCTTGCTACGGGCCAGTGAGATACTGAAAGGTTGATTTTTGACTCATGGTCTGTTCTCAGCCCTGTCTGGGTAAGAGACTACACGGGGAGCTGTGCCCTTTCATCCCCACCTTTGCGAAGTAAAGATGCCAAACCCAGAGCAGAATAAGCGTGCCAAACTTATCTTCTGTTTGGATGTAATCAGGCATGCTGAAAATCCCTCAAGCAAGAATGGCTGCTGGCTGGAAAGATGTCAGTGTTTGTTTTCCTCCAGGATGTAGAGTGGGTGACTTCAAATCTTTTTATCATCCTAATTATCTGTAATTGTCAGAGGTTTTGTTTTTTTTCTCCCTTGATCTTTTGGTTTTGTTTATAAAATATATTTGTACAATACAATTTTCCTGCATTTTCTTCGTTTTATTAGAGCAAGGAGTCACTCGACTCCTTGAGGGTCAAGTGACTCTTTAGCAGGGATGGCATAGCAGGCATCCTACACATCAGATGGCTTACGTTATGATTCGTAACCATAGCAGAATTACAGTTACGAAGCAACAGTGAAATAGTTTTATGGTTGGGTGTGTGCACAACATGTGAAACTGTAGTCAGGGTCACAGCCTTAGAGAATTAAGAACCTTGGAGCTTTATGGGGAGATGACAGTTAAATCATGTGACCATATTTCACCGAGACCTGAGCTACTATCTAGCTTAAATGATCACCTTTTAACCCTATGAATAAATTGTAATAGGTATGATTTTTTTTCTTTTTCTTCTCCTTCTCTAATTCTATTTGTTGATTTGGGGTATATGGATGGGTGAAGGGGTGTGCAAGTGTGTGTGCCTGCATATGTTCACATACACACGCCTCTAGGTGAGCTTGAGGGTGTGTTTGAGATTAATGCATTCATCTTTTTTTCATAGTGCCTACCACAGCTGTGACAATAACTTCTTCAGCTGAGCTGTTCAAAACCACAGTGTCAACCACAAGCAGTACTTCACAGAGAAGCCCCGTGAGCAGCACAGTAGCTGGTCCTCAGGAAGGAAGCAGAGGGACAAAGCCACCTCCAGCAGCCTCAACAACCAAAATTCCTCCTGTAACAAATATTTTTCCCCTGCCAGAGAGATTCTGCGAAGCCTTAGAAAGGAAGGGGATAAAGTGGCCTCAGACACAAAGGGGGATGATGGTTGAGCGACCATGTCCCAAGGGAACAAGAGGTATTTCCTGCAACATGCAATGCACACTTTTATAGTTTAATAAGTAGCTTTTAAACAAGAACGGAAAAGTTTCATTAGGGGAGCTATTTACACTAGCCGATTTCATTATTTTATTATATTACTTATACAGGTTTTTTGTTATGTTTTTGTTTTGTTTTGTTGTTTTTGTTTTTTTTTTAACCACAATATAAAGGTTTTAAACTCTTGAGTGTCACCTAGGGTCAAGTACAGAATTGCCTCTCCATTTCCTATGTCAAACCTGAGTCTTTTGTCCCAGGACTCTAGTGAGGCTCCCCTACCGCTGCCTTTCTCATTACAGCCATCACATTGGATGAGCCCCAAGAAAAGAAAGGGGCTTTTTGGTCCCCGCTCCCCTCCCTAAATGCCCACTCTCCCATGCTTACTTGATATTTAGTTTACAAGCTCTTGCATTGCCTGCTACTTTTTGTCAGCGAATACCAACTACTTCGAATAGCATTCATTCAAACTGTAATGCCCAGTCTAGGATCTTCAAAGTCAGTTTCCCAGAAGCTAGCAGGACAGGGCTTCAACTTCAACACTGTTCTCTGCCTCTGCTGCAGGAACGGCCTCGTATCTCTGCATGGCATCCACAGGAACCTGGAACCCAAAGGGTCCGGATCTTAGCAACTGCACGTCTCACTGGGTGAATCAGCTGGCCCAGAAGGTGGGTTGTTACACTGTTCTGATGGGATACATTGTTTGAGAACTTGATGTTCTAACATAAACAGTTTTTTTCTATGTTAAACCAGGCTTTGTTCAGCATAAAAGTTTTGTTTTGTTTTTTAAGGCTTAGTTTTGTCTGTGAACTAGTCGAGGAATGTTAGATTTGTTTGGGGTTACACTGTTTTCTGTGTTAAGCTGTTTAACCAACACGTACTTGTTTTAATTTCATTTGCATTTAGTTTGTCCTGATTCCTTTGATGTTCATGAGACAAATAGCATACTGGCCCCATAAATCAAATATCGTTAAGTTTGCAACTGAGCCCACAGAACGCAAACAGATGTTTATATCACACACGATTACCAGACAATGAGTAAAAGGATCTTGAAGCAGGCCTAGAAACCTCTGCTTGGAATTTTGCATTCGACTGTAGTGCTCTTTTATTTTTTTTTCTTCATCTACTGTTTTTTGAAATACAGACATTCGTTGATAATTCTAGGTATCACACTGCCTTCAGATATAAAATCTGCATCATTGGAATAAGTAAAAAAAATTAAAACAACAACTTAAAGTGGTTACAGGGAAATGGGAGCCAACAGAAAAAAACAAAAGGATGTCTCTATTTGGTGTGTGTGTGTGTGTGTGTGTGTGTGTGTGTGTGTGTGTGTAAGAGAGTTTCTTTGTGGTAAGGATCTAAAAGCCTTTAATCTTCTGAGATGAAGACAGAGTTACCAGTCTCAATGAATTGCAGATCTTGACATATTTGCAGATGTTTTTGTTTCCCCACCACAACAGAGGTGTTTAAAGAGAACTAAAGGCCACGTAGAAAGAGTTTACTGAGATACTACAAATTGCCTTTTCAGATCAGAAGTGGGGAGAATGCTGCAAGTCTGGCCAATGAACTGGCCAAGCACACCAAGGGGTCCGTGTTTGCCGGGGACGTGAGTTCCTCCGTGAGGCTGATGGAACAGCTGGTGGACATCCTGGACGCTCAGCTGCAGGAGCTGAAACCTAGTGAGAAGGACTCGGCTGGGAGGAGCTACAACAAGGTAGGATCCTGGCACCACAGGACATGGGTCTGAGTGGGTGGCAGCTCTCTGCCCTGCGACACTTGGGGCCAGGGACCCAGACACATACTTAGAGACCCAGCTTCCCAGTGTGTTCATTTCTCACGGAGAATGACTGAGAAAGGAACAGAGTTCTCCTCTCCTTCAAAGTTGTGAATGACACCAGTTACGCCAGATTTTGAGTGGCGATTTCAGCCATCCGACTGGTCAGCACTGTCGCTGCGGAGTTAGCATTCGTCGTGCCTACGAGTGATTATAGGTCACATGATTAATGAATTGTATGAAAACATGCAGCTCTTAGTGCTTGAAGCAAAGGTGTGATACACAGTGGTGTTAGTGGCAGCATTGGGGAGAAAGGTGTGTCCATTTGGGGGAGAAAGGTGAGCATCCCCCTGAGTGTTCTGAAATGCTAAGTGCACCTCACCTCATTGGTTTTGTCGTGTTCATTGGAATCCAGAATTAGTCACAGATAGGCAGACTGTTACTTTTTCTCATTTTTTTCTCTTGTAAAAATTTAAAAAAAAATAAAAAGACACTTGACAAAATAGAGCTAAAACCTGTAAATAGATAGTTTGGCCATGAGCAGAGTGGTCCAGATGCCCGGAGGATATTTGTACCTCGTCACCATAGAACTGAGGAACACCAACTTGATTTCTGAGGATTTTTTTTTCTTTCCTCATTTTTTTTTCAGCAGATAAAATCTAACCTCTGATTTTCTTTTCTTTTACTTAAAAGCTCCAAAAACGAGAGAAGACATGCAGGGCTTACCTTAAGGTATCTTTCCTGTCTGTCCCCCTGCTTCCTCCCCTCTTCGGCTGCCTGCCACGCTTATGCCATCTTGCTGCATGACTCTGAATTTTCAGTCTTTGATAATTATATAATGTGCCCCATATCAGCTGTACCAATGTTGGCTTCTCTCAGAACAAGCCAATAATAACATTTTACTGATTTTTTTTTTGCTGGTTTCCCATTCATAAAAAAGTAAAATATAAGAACTTTAATGAATATCCTCTGAATTGGAAGAAAGCACATAGTGGTTCCTTTGTTTTCTGTTACCATCTCTGGATTCAACAACCTGAAACAGCTATGATATATTCTTGGCAGTTTATCATATCAAAGACTGTATGGGCATAACATATGTGCATGTAAAAGTCACTGCTTTCTGATCTCTGGGGTGTACTGTTCAATAAATTAAACTTTGTTCTGGCCTTTTGGGAATTCGCTTCTGGAAGCAGGCTGATGAGTGTGGGTATCCAGAAGTAAAACATGAACATTGCAATGGTGATTGCAGTATGCTGGGTGGGAGTTCTTCTCAGGTTCCTCGGAACAAAGAGGCACTTCTGTGTCGTGGCCAGTATTTTTACCTACTATTTTGACATGATAGGCAGCATACCAAGGCTCTCCATGTCAGTAAGCCAAACTAGTACTATTGTATGTTGGTTTAGCTCTGTAGGTTAGAAGTTTCTTGCTGTTGGGGAGGGAGAGTTAGCTATTACCCTAGTATATCTAACCCAAAAGGATAAATTCACATAGTGAGGGAACAAACCAAAGAACTTCTGTAGTTTTCAAAATGAGAAGTTACTCAGAAGCTGAAACCTCATAAACTTGGTTGGCAAGGTCAGGGCTGGGCACAACAAACAGGGAGTCACCCATTAGGAAGGGATGGGCACCGAGAACAGCCACTCACCCGTTAGCAAAGGTCAGGGATGGGCACTGAGAACAACATCTCACCTGTTAGCAAATGACAACTTTGGATCTGAGCCCTTTGCAAGAAAAGGCGGAGGGAAATCAGGTTGCAGGTAGTAATGTTCTAAAAAGTGTGTTAAGAATCTGATTATTGATGAAACTGAGGCAGATCTGAGGAGTAATTCACACTCAGATCAACTAATGTGTTGCTCAAGACATACCTCACTGAGCCAAGGATCAACTTCCCCCAACTTTGGCAAGGAAAGCCTCTGGCAGGAGTATGGTTAGATTAATGGTTACCTTGATCCTACTCGAAAATCACATGTGATAATAAATAAGGACCGTTTCACATTGATGTTAGCGTGCTATCAGGAGGAGTAAATACACATGGTAAACCACAATATGACCTTAATTTCTGACCAGTGTCATTTTCAGTATATTTCAAATGAGCTTCTCTGTTCAGACAAGAATAATAAGCCTCCTTAAGTTACAAATCAGACATACTCTATGCAAATGAAGCAAGTCTCTACTTGGCTACAGAGGATTCATTTGTAACTTAGATTAGAGGCCCGAGTCTGTATTTCTGGGTGACTAATGAATCTGGCCTCAGCAGACCAATTTCTGTTCCAGTCTAGTTATTAGCTAAAGAAGCATCCGTGTGAGCATTCTGGACTATTCTATCTCCCATTAGAAACAGAAAAAAAAAAAAGCCTTTACCACCACTTGGAAGTACCTTCCACCTGCCGGGGAGGTCATGGCGGCTCACAAGGCAGACTGAACCAGGGTATTAAGATGGATTAAGCTAATTAATCTTACTCTGACAATAGCCTCAAACAACTTGTCCCCTTGCTCATACAGAGCTTCTTAAAAAAAAAATCCCAGTTCATTGCTGTTTTCTGTAGATGGCATGTTCTTTTTTCTTCAGCGATTACCAACAGATCAGAACAATGTATATACTGGCCTAGTGACACATTATGTGTAGGCATGTGGAATAGCAAACGCACGTAGTGACTTCCACTGTCCAGCTACGCGGCACAGCACACAGCAGCCTATCTACAGCAAGCACTTGCTTCCAGTGGATTAGTCCACCCTGCTATATTGTTTTTTAATGCTGGTTAGCATGGGGTTAAATTACACCCACACTTAGGGATATTTGCAGCCCAGTTGTTTTTCAGCACTTTATATATTTCGATGCTCCTTGAATGATCAGTATAGCCTTTCAGTATTTTGCCTGTTTCCTTCATTCCTGTAAAAGCAGACCTGTCCTTAGGAGTTAACATATGTACACATATAGGTATGTGTGTTATATAGGTGATGGGAAGGACCAAAATGTAGCTTATGAACTTTTATAAAGCTATCCCTCCACTCGAGTGATAACAGACAGCCTCTAGAACACCATAGCCTCTAGTATGGAAAGCAGTTTGACTTACTTGAGTTCAAAAGAACACCGTGACCGAATCTCTAGCAGATGCTTCTCTATTCCAGAAACATCAGTGTTTTCTAGTCATACATTTAAAATTTGAATTTACAAACAGTGTAATAGTTGTGAGTGACCACTCGTGTAAGTCAGAGCTGCTATTGAGAATTCCATGTCCCCTTCAACACTTGCAGTATGCTTAGAGAACCGAGAAGCAAGCCACCTTCCTTAAGGACTCCTCAGATCAGGCAGCTGTTCGCGCATGTCTACTTAGTGCTATTTTGAAGTAGTATTTACAGTTGGCCAGCTCGTGAAAGAAAAGTAAATCCTCATGTCAGGTAAACACCACAGTTGTCACCAGTCAGCGATTGACAATGCCCTGTGTTCTAGAGGCCGTCAGAACTAATGGTCATTTTCTGATGGACGCAGGCAATTGTGGACACAGTAGATAACCTTCTGAGATCCGAGGCTTTGGAATCCTGGAAACACATGAATTCTTCAGAGCAGGCGCACACTGCCACAATGTTGTTGGATACCTTGGAAGAAGGAGCATTTGTCCTAGCAGACAACCTTTTGGAACCAACCAAGGTCTCAATGCCAACAGAAAATATTGGTGAGTGTATCTGTGGTCACATTTAATTTGGAAGGCAGATGTTGGAGAGAACAGACGTTGTGTTCTGGATGTATTGCCTCCCAGTGTCAGACTTTCTCTTTTGCTGAGTTATTTAAGGAAAAGAAACTATTGATCATACTTAATAAAATTAATGCTTAAGCTGATATCTGCCTATATCTTATAGAAGTTGTTGTTCTGAGTATGTGTTTTTCAATTGAAAAATCGTTAAAGGAAAAAACCTAGCAGCATTCAAACGGAGGTTATGGATTGTTTACGGGATGACAGTGCTTCATGGGAGGAGGTGGCAAACGCTTTTCCCTTCTTCCAACGTTCCTAACAAACTTAAATCACTGAATATGTTCTCCCAGTCCGATATTTCAGTTCACAAACTTCAGTGCGACTGTTTACATTAAACACAACCTCCTTTAGGTAGATGCGGTATTTAATAGCCTGGAGTTCCACATCTGTAATATTAACATTTCTGAGACTGCTGCAGGAGGATTGCTGTGAGTTCAAGGCCACGCTGGGCTATAGTGTGAGAGCCAGATTCACACAGTAAAACAGTTGAGGCTGGAGCTCAGTTGATGAGGTGCTCATCCTGCATGCAGGAAGCCATGGGTTCGATTCCCTAGCACCATGTAGGGCTAGGGACTACTTCAGGGATGGTGGAAGGTCGGGAGATGAAGGCCAGCCTGGTCTATGTGAGGCTGTCCTTCTCCCTCTTCCCATTAAAAGGTATTATCAGTGAAGGACATACTTTCAGCCTTCTTTCCACATTGTCAAAACGATACCAATATTTCTGAAGGGTAGTCAAGAGTTGAAATATTGCCAATGAATGTCAGAAATCCAATATTTGGTAGGAGGGGAAAGTCTGATATTTAAATTTCTCCAACTTAGAGTTGATAATTATTTGGTGAGGTTGGCCTTACCCAACGCTTACTAGATAGCATCCCAAAATCAAAGGTTCCCGTTATCAGTGAAAAAGAAAAGAAACATGAAAAAATAAAGACCACTCATTTCTCCACCAGAAACCATGACTCTTTTAGAACAGAAAGAATGAAGTCCTCTGGCTGGAATGCCCTGTCATCCTGATGTTTCATGACCATCAATATGATGGTTGCATATTAACAGCTAGGAAAAAAAAAAGACATAACTCTAATATGGCACCTGAATTGAAATTTTAAACTTAAGTTTATTTCATATATATAAATTTTTCAAATGAAATAAAATACTAAGAATTTCTTCCAGGGTGTATAAATTATTCCATAACTTCAGTATATAAGTGAAGTAAAAAGATGTACCTACTATATAATCTTAACCTGTTTGTTTAAAAAAAATGTGTTCAGCTGGGTGTGGTAGCTCATACCTTTAATCCCAGCACTTGGGAGGCAGCACCAGGACAATCTTTGAGAGTTGGAGGCCAGCCTGGTCTACAAAGAGAGTCCAGGACAGCCAGGGCTTGTTACACAGAGAGACCTGTCTCTAAAAATCAACACCCCCACCCAAAAAAGTATTCACATAGTTTATTCATAATAAAAAATTAATAAAACTCCAAAACTTTCTTTGTTTTCAGGCAATTATCTGAGCTGATCATATTCTTCAGATTCATGCACATTTACCACCACTCAGTGGTGTCCAGTGGTATCCCCTAAGCACACAGTGGGGTAGACCCCATCCTCTTAGTGAATATGCCCTGGACCTGCATAGCATGACATTTTGTGACTTCAGTTTGTTTCTCAAATTTTCTAAAAGTTAATTTTAAAAAAATGTTTCTTTAACTTCAACTGTGCATGAATATTTGAAGGGCCGTGTTAATTCTTGCATACCCATAGAACATGTTTTATTTCTATACACCACATACATTTTGTCCCAGTTCAAGACAAACTCTGAAGATTCAATGTCTGGGAATTATTTCCCTGATACATCTTTCTGAGCTTGAAAGGCTTGTTTTTCCTATTAAAGTTTTAAGCTTCATGATGTGAGTGTTCATTTGGGATACAGTGTAACATTTCACTGATATTTCTAACCCATAGTTGGAATTTATTTTCTCTGTGCACTTATTACCCCAATGTCATCAGAATGGAAGGTAGTTATGTATTTTTTATTTCCAATTCATCATCAACATTTTATTTTAAAAAATGTGTGTTGTTTTAAGCACAAAGCAAACTTTGTGTTTCCTAGAACTTGTCTTTAAACTTACTATGAGAATAGCCTACTGTCTCCTCATATAGTTTTTGAAGCTCTTATTTAAACTTAGAGGATGGCTATATCTTCAAGTATTAAAACGAGGTTTCCTTCTTAGTGTGTTTTGCACATGTGCCATGCAACCCACAGAGTGGCCTGAGTGTCTGAGGACAGCATCTGCAGTCAACACTGAGGTCCACCTCATACGCGACAGTGTCTCCTTGAATGCATGGCTCTCCTAAATCTTGAGCAAATGCACCCCACATAATCATCAGCATAGGCTACATCTTTATCTTCCAAAGGCAGTTCCCTCCCACCTCCGCCCCAGGAAACCACTGCATCCTGTCAGTGAGCTTGGCCCCCTAGACTTTGCCTGGCATTCTGTTGGAATCTTGCTTCCTTTACGTTGAGTTAATTTTGAGATCTCCCCATCCAGACCGACGGTTGTAGTTCAGTCTTATTGCTCAGTGTTGCTCCTCTATTGTAAGAACATACAACGTCAGTGTACAGTTCACATTCCGGCTTTTAGCTGTTACCACCTGGTGGCTCTTATATCCGTTTGGTCTCTAAAGGCTATGAGTGAGAGTCTCACCAGTTCTCCGTGTTTTCCGAGACTGGAGCTTTCTGACTTTGCCCATATCAGTGGTTTGCATTGGTATCTCGTATGGGTTTCCTTTTCATTTCTACTAAGCAACCCGTGTTTATTTTGGGGGTGTCGATGATGGAGACCTGGTCTCCTTGTACAGCCGATGTGATCTTAAACTCTGTCCTCCAGCTTTGACCTCCTGAGTGCTGGGATGAGAGGTAACTAAGAATCATCCACTTGGTGAATTTTTGCCTGTGTTTAGGGCCCATCCACTCATCTTTTTTATAAAGATCTTTACTCTCTTCTGCTCTAGTTCAGCTGTTTTTCGACTCATGGACAGAAAGGATTCTTTATGTATTCATAGTGTGCCTTTGGCCAGAAATCTGTACACTGAATGTTTATGAATGTTTATCTCAGTGAGAGAATTTTCTTTTTCTTTTGCTGTCTTGGGAATAGCAGAACTTGCTAATATGACTTTGAAGGGTTTCAGCATCTTCCATCTGCCTAGTCCTACCTTGCTTACACTTCTTACCACTGTATAATTATCATAATGCCCTATCATTATTAATGTCCTTATTGAGAGAAAGAAAAATTACACTTAAACATTAAGAAAGGAAGTTCAGGAGCTAATAATCACGTCCCTTTTCTTCTTGTGGATGTACTAATCCTTTATTAAGTTGATATAATAGTCTGTCTATATATCTATTCCATATTTAATTCCTTTCCATTAAAAGACTGCATGTTAAAGATTGCATTGTTTCATTAGAGAAATGAGGAGAGCGATTGACAGGCGATTGGCCCTTGTAGACATTGACACCGTTCCATTTGTCTGACTTCGCCTGACTTAATCATTCATCTGCATTTGATACACTAGTTAACTAACGGCTTGATCAGGCCAAGTGTGATATTTTCACCTCAGGAACTTCTGTTGCAGAACACTGTGGGATACTTAGTGTTCCGTTGCCTTTCTTTGTGACATTAAGATTAATTGGATAATTTAGGTATAAGCCTGAAACATCCATTATAAGATATCCATTCCTTTATTTTCAGAATAGCCAGAAATATCCATCGTCCCAACCCCCACCTCTGTCACTTCAGACTTCGTTGTATTATAGCTGGAAAGAAAAAATTAAAATATGATTTACAACAGCAATGGTAATTCTTTCTGCTGTGTAGACAGGAGGCTGGCCTTGGATCTGTTAAAACCTATTGTATATTCCCTTCTTCGTGGAGCCAGGGCTCACCTAGGACTTGGTAGGTCCTCTGGCCCCATCAGTATCTTCCTCAGAGCTCTCCTATATCACATTGCAGCCAGGGTCTTAGATGAGTGGAGAAAAAAAGCTACGGTGAGTAAGAGTTGGATCGCTCTCCAGAAAGTGTATGTGCTACTATCTGTTGACTAAGGCATGTGCCATAGCAACCAACATAAACACCGTTGCACTGGCCAGTCAGCCATCTGATACTGTACTTTAGTTAAAACACACAGGCAGTACAGAAGCTCCCATGGTGGTAAAGTTGATGACGGACATTCTCCATGAGAGACCAGATCAAACAGAGGATAATTATAAACATTTGTTTTTATAAGATTTTATCTCTATTTAAAAAAAAAAGATTTTATCTCATTCTGGGATCTTTTTTTGAGATGAGAGCCCCTGTATGTTGTCTTAGCTGACTTCAAACTCTTAGACTCAACTCCTGCTTAAGATTCTTTGTAAACTATTTCACTTGGGAGGCTTCACGTGGGTACAGTAGTTATAGTTATGACATCAGTGATTTCATTCTTTAAATGACATTTGAAGGTCTTCCCGTTCCGTTTAGGAGTTTCATATGTATATCTTCGGATAGGTATATCTCTAGTTCTTTCATCTGATCTAAGAATACACCATGGCTAAGTGTACTCAAAGGGATTGCAGTGACTTGCCAATATTTGGTAAGGAAAAAGTAGACCAAAGTTCTAGTGTGTCGTCTTGTTCAGTGTGTTTCTAGGCATACATGCATGTGTATGTAAACGTTTTAAAACATTTTATAGGACAAACTAGACAAACTATGCTAATCCATTTTATCAAATTTTTTTCCAGGTTTTTCTCTGTTCCGATTTTTTTTTTCCAATTTTTCTGTGCTCCTTGGTTAAAACACTACAGTGTCAAGGCTAACACTGACTTTTAGCATAAATGTTGTTAATCAGTTGGCTTGATCCCTTGACTGCTCTGACTTGCAGGGTCCCTGATGTTTTTGAGGCATCCCTTCCTATTACTTTCATTGGCCTGTTTTATTTTTTTTACCTGTGAATTTGCTGTTCTCAGCATTTCCCAGTTTTTCTATTTCTCTGTGTTTTGCATGCGCTCTGGTCACTAATTTGTTGAAGATTCCTGTTTTAGCAATTTTAAAGGTATTCTTTTACATAGTAGTAGGTTACAATTAATTAGTCTTTAATTTTAGGGCTGAAGTTTTTTTGATATCTAAGAAATTTTATCTTGGCTTCCTGCTTTAAAAACCTTTCTCTACTCTTCATAAGTATCGCATCCTTCGTAAGTTTGCACCTTGGTAAGTTTAAAGCTTTGTAGTTTTATATTTGGCCTTCGTCTTTCTAAAGTTTGTTTGATTATCCTTTGTGGTAGAAGTAAGTAATCTGGCCTTTTCTATCCGGATAACCCGGTTCTTTCTGAACTTTTACTTGCACATAATGTACTCTCTTGCCCGTCTCTTCCATCCATCAAGGTTCTGCCCATGTCAGCGTGTGCATTAGGTCTCACACTCCCGGCTTTTGTTTGATACTATGATAATACTTTGTTTGTCTTCTGTGATACTAGTGGCTTGTGAGCCTTTCAGCAGTTCTCCTTGTGCAGATTCCCTGGCTGCCTTTGTGTACATCTCATGTGTATGAATTTTAAAATCAGTTTTTGAAGTTCCATGTACTCATAAGGTCCTGTTCAAAGTTTTATTAGAATTAAGCTTCACCTATAGGTTGTTGAAGTACGAGAGTTCTTCAAATTAAAAAGCATTCTTACATGGTAGCTTCTTTCTTAGTTATGCTCACTGTGAGTAAAGAGTTGCTATTCCATTGCTGCCTACGTTTCCTTTGTTGTTGTTGTTTTTATTATTATTATCACATAGCATCCTATGGTAGTGATAAATAAAGCACACTGATAAGGGTCACTCTTTCTTAAAGTGTGTTTTAGTCAGCCTAGGGTATTTATTAGTCTTCCTAGGATAGTCTGACAGGAAATGCTCAGGGAGTGGTTTCTTTATTCCTATTATTTTGAAAAGTTACTTTTTTCCTAATATGCTAAGTAATTATACTTGCTGATTTCTTCAGGCTCTTATATTTAATGTGTCCATATTGCATAGTTTACTAAGGATTGTTTTTGCAACAATTGAATCATCGAGAAGCTTATTAAGTGGTCAGTATATATGAGTGTCTTGTTTTCTGAAGGAAAATGGAAAAATTATTTAAAACTAGGTATGTAGTAATCTATGAATTGATACATCGATGGTCAGAAACCACTGAAGTTTTATAGTTTCTTTCAATCAGTTTTAACTTCCCAAATGTTTCTATTCTCTGTCTTACTATTGGGTGATGCATACCTATTTTGATTAAGTTAATTACCTCATAACATTGCTTCATTTCTTCTAAAACCAGTAGTCATGTACAGTAATAATCTGCTTGTAGAAATTTCAGATTAGTTTTTCTTTTCTATGAACGTAATTCTTAAGCTAAAAAGTAAATATAACTTGGATGAAATTAGTTCATTCTTACATGCATGTCTGGAACATTTCAATTTGCATGAAAACTAAGAATACTTCGTTTTATGTGCTTTTTAAGAGAAATAATTAGTAATTATAGCCCCATTCAGTGTAGGGAGGAAATAATTATATGTCAGAGATGCAAGAGTGTGCATGTGTGCGTGTGTGTGTGCGTGCGTGCGTGCGTGCGTGCGTGCGTGCGTGCATGCATGCGTGTGTGTGTGTTTGCATGTGTGTGGTGAGTATTTTGCTTTATTTGGTTTTGTTGGCAGGGCCTCATCTAGTCAAGCTGGTTTGGGATGTTCTGTGTAACTGACGATGACTTTGAACTCATAGCTCTCCTGTCTTGTTCCCCACCTGCCACTCTGCGATGACTCTCTGGGGTTTTTTGTTGAGTATTGTCTTTGGAGAAACATGTGTTACTTGTGCTTTCCCACTGGATCTCTTACCCAACACAAAGAATCTGATATGACCAGGGAGAACATCCACCCGCCAGCTGCTTGATATTTTCCAGCTTGAACCAGTAAGATCAGTGACCTGTGTCTGCACTGGTGGGAGTCAGGAGTTACAGGAGTATCATCATAAGCTTGTACTTGAGTGTTCTGGTTCGGGGCTGAATGGCTTCCAAGACTCTTTGAACGCCAATGTTTTCATATTTACAACAAAACAAAAATTTAAAATAGTATATAAGGGTACCTAGAGTGCAGGATCTGACCCTATTTTTATATCAAGGAAGGGAATGAAATCATATCTCTCTGTTGACAGTTTTCCATGAACGTACTTTACTCATTTCACTGCTTGTAGAAATTAGAAAAAAAAAATGTGTTACCGCAAACCTGACGTATAGAATGCTATTAAAATCTCTCTACCTAGAAAGAGATATACCTGTGTGGTGATGACTTTTAGATTGTACTTTAGACTCGGTTTCTGCTAATGGAGGTCTTTGAAAAGTTACTTAATACACAAACTCCAAATTAATAAGGATTTGCAAGGAGAAAGTGTAATTCCTGTGGCATTCTCTTTTGTCTATTTATAGTTTAAACAATGGGTTCCCCCACCCTCCCTTTTTTCTTTGTTTTATCCAGTTCTCGAAGTTGCTGTCCTCAGCACGGAAGGGCAGGTCCAAGACTTTAAATTCCCTCTTGGCTTCAAGGGCAGCTCCATCCAGCTCTCAGCAAACACTGTCAAGCAGAACAGCAGGAATGGTGAGACAGGAGACTACCTTGCTTTGCTTCTCCTTTGGTTCTCCTCTTTGATTCTCACCCTACTTCCCTCTCCTCCTTGATAATTCATCCTTAACACAACAGAAATGGCTTAGCATTTAAAATAATTCCTATCGCGTTCTCAATAAACTTCATGCACAGCTATTTAGAGAATCTGTCACATTTTCTCCTTTTTTTTTCTCTTTTTCATTTTTTTCCTCCTCGTCTTACCGCTTGCTTTTCCATCCTAAGCACCTAAGCAACGGTGTGGTGAGTCCTGTGACTGTCTTCCTTCCTAGGGCTGGCCAAGCTGGTATTTATCATTTACCGGAGTCTGGGACAATTCCTCAGCACTGAGAACGCGACCATAAAGCTGGGTGCAGACCTCACGGGTCGGAACAGCACCATTGCGGTGAACTCACACGTCATTTCCGTCTCCATCAATAAGGAGTCCAGCCGAGTGTACTTGACAGACCCTGTGCTTTTCACACTGCCACACATTGATGTAAGCTAATGTATGCTAATGAAGTCACAGAAGGTTCTAAACCCCAGAGAAAGGAAGGCTAGGCTGTCATGCTGAGGAGGCTGGACACTTGGGGTGCTTGGGTGGGAGAAGACCTTTCCATTTGAAATTTAAATGTTGGGCTGGGTCAGAGACACAAGTTTATTTAAGTCTGTGAACATAAAATTAAATGAGCCCGGTTCAGTGATTATTAGAACTTAAGTGTATTCTTAATGAAAGCTAATTCAGTAATCAACAGGAAAATGTAAATGACTTTAATTTGGTTTTGGATGAAAATTAACTCTTACCTTAGCAGCAGGATAGCTGAGTGTTAACTCCTAAGACTCTGCATTTGTCGTGTGGCTAACCATTAATTTTTAAATTAGTTATATCGGGCTCATCTGGTAAAGTGCGCTTGCCTTTCAAACAGGAAAACCTAAGTTTGTAGTCAAACCCATGAGAAGAAGCTAGCTGGAGTAAAATTCAAAGTGTCTTTAGCCTACTTGGATAGTCTTAGGCCTCTGAGAGACACTTGAGAGACAAGGTAGGTGATTGCTGAGGGACATTGCCAGAGGCTGTCTTCTGACTGCCTCATGATCAGGCATACAGACAGATCTCACACACACACACACACACACACACACACACACTCACACGCACTCACATGCACATTCATGCATATCTATGAATGCATGCATGTATACATATAAAAATTAATTCTAATTAGGTCAGCTTTAATCAGAGATTGTGTTTAAAAAATTCAGAATTGAAGAGACATGACTTATCTAAGGGGCCTCACGGCATCGCTTAATGACCGTGATGTCAGAAGACGCACTGTTGAGAATAGAGTGACTGAGTGCCTGAGGATGACCAAGTGTCCAGGACAGCCAAGCATAAGCTGTGTGCTCAGAACCAACCTGTTATCTGCTGTATTTGATTTAGTCTTCAGAGCCTTACAGTGCCACTACATTTCAAATGTGTCACTTGCAAATAACCAAAGTACTTTTTTTTTAAAGACACTCAGTCCTTACAGAATTTTCTCAGAACAAATTTACAACTTTAATCTTGTATCAGAGAAAGGGCAGGGGTTGTGGGGGGGCAACCTAGCACTTGTAATGTACCTATCAGTAGGTAAAATCATCAGATGAAAATTGTAATCGTGTGAAATGGGTCCCCGGTAATTTAGAGTATGTGTTAGAATGTCTCGGACTATAAAACCCCCTTTAAGCTTAGATATGGGGCCTGGATATCGTAGTCCACAATTTTGCTGATGAAAAACTTTATAGTCCGAAACATGCAAAGTTTAATCTAAATTACCTTTTTACACATATTAAACAATTGCTATTGCCGTCTTTGAGTGTGAAATCCTAATTTTATCTTGTCATTTTATTTCCCAGCCTGACAATTATTTCAATGCAAACTGTTCCTTCTGGAACTACTCAGAGAGAACCATGATGGGATATTGGTCTACCCAGGGCTGCAAGCTGGTTGACACTAATAAAAGTCGCACGACGTGTGCATGCAGCCACCTAACCAATTTTGCTATTCTCATGGCCCACAGGGAAATTGTGGTAAGTATTTTCGCTTCTAATTAGTCGCAGGGAAAGACCTGCGAGATTCGAAACAGCTTGTGTAATAGTCCGTCTTTGGGTGCTTATCGTAACTAAAAAGCAAACAAAGTAATATGGGTTTCTAATTGTTTTTTACCCTGTCCTTGTTTGTTCAGAAGGCTTGGTACTTTTTCAGTCAACAAATTTGTGTTACCTTCCTTCCTCACCCTTGCAGGCAGATGTTTTTCAGAGGCCACCAAGGATTTAAAAAAAAAAACGGATAGAAATGGGGGCATATGCGCACAACCTAGGCTCCCATGTGCTGGGTCCCTTTCCTATCTTGAATGATGGAATCCCCTTTCACAATGTTGCTTTAATAGTTGGCACATTATGGAGAGCTGCAGACTTTTCTATCAGAGAAGCTTCTGGAATATGCCTACATAGTTCTTTCTGTTGTTAAAGAGAATGATAGTGGATAATGAAAAATATTCAGTATATGTAGTATGGGGGCAGGGATGAGAAAGACTCTGGTCTTTATCCCTAGACTCTGCTCACTCCAACCATAGTCCGATGTAAAACTCTTAGGTGTATCAGGTGTGTCTATGGTGTTTATTTATCTCTCACTGTGTAAGTCTGTAGATACTCAAAGAGCAAAGACCAACTTAAAGTTGGATTATGTATTAGCTGCAAAATCGTTAAAATGCCATTTTATTTCCATCGAGATTAGTTTTTCTTTTATTTCACGTAAATATTTTTGAAATATCCGTGAAGGTAACTGCTTCAGTATTTATTTTTAAAGTTGGTCGCTTTGAACATGTGGGTGCTGGGAATCGAACTGAGGTCCTCTGGCAGAGCAGCCAGTGCACTCTACCAGCAAGCTATAATTCAGCCCCTCAGTAGTTATTTTTAAAGATTTGCACCATTCTCTAAATAAAATCTCCCCCTTCTCTAGTAGGAAATCCTGTAAGACAAACTTTACCTCCGTTACACAGTCAGCATCTTTATGTAGGAGCCTGTGTTTGAACACATGAATATTCTTCATCAGACCCTCTTGGAAGCTGTAACATTAATCCCGCTTTCTGTCTTCCAGTATAAAGATGGCGTTCACGAGCTGTTGCTGACAGTCATCACCTGGGTGGGCATCGTTGTCTCCCTCGTCTGCCTGGCTATTTGCATCTTCACCTTCTGTTTCTTCAGAGGTCTGCAAAGTGACCGCAATACCATCCACAAGAACCTTTGCATCAACCTCTTCATTGCTGAATTTATTTTTCTAATAGGCATTAATAAGACAAAATACACGGTGAGCACCTGTTGAGTTCGCTGACCTCGGCCCTTTGGTGGTTTTGTCTGTTAGCTGTGAATGTTCGTGTGATGCTGACATTAGTATTTTCTCTTGTTGTTTGATGCAATTTGATGGTCATGGTGAAGGATGAATTGTAATAAACTATAAGGCAGCTCAGTCAGTAATGTTACTATGAATGTATTCATTCCATGTATTAAAGGACAAGTACGTCTTTTCTGCCTACCCTGAAGTAAAAAGGTGCATTTTCCAAATTCCTACTTAGCTTATAGACAGGCATTCTGACCAGCAGTCTTTCCTTCATACTTAAACTGTTTATTCATCATCACAAGGCCTCAGTGTCAGACAGAGAACATAATTCATCTCTGTATTACCTTGCATTCATCTGAGATGAATTTAAGAATGCTCCAGAAAAAAAAAGAAAAGGGAAATAATCCTATATAATTAGAGTGAGGGTATCTGTCATTAAAGCAAACTTTTTAAATTCCATTATAGAGATTAGAGGTAATGTGTCTGCACACAACACCTGCAGGTGGATACGAGGGGTCCGAGTCAGAGGTTTGATGAGGGACTTTAGAGCTCTGACTTCCTACTCGATACTTAATTTCAAAATGGTAATGGTTTTCAGTGAGGATGTCTGGCACACTTGATGGTACACTCCCTATGCATTGTGCTTTTGATATTTACTGTGCCTTTAACTTGTGTCCACTTAAGGAACGAATCGTGGGTGGGTGGGTGGGCGCGTGGCGCGTGCATGCATGCGTGCTTACGTGTGTAATACTGAGTTATTTAAGACACTAGCGCGATTCTGCCATTGCCTGTTAAGGTTGAGGAGTAGGCACTGTGTACTCACAGATGTCATTGTCTTTCCTTCACAGATTGCATGCCCCGTGTTTGCAGGGCTTCTGCACTTTTTCTTCCTGGCGGCTTTTTCCTGGATGTGCCTAGAAGGTGTGCAGCTCTACTTAATGTTGGTGGAAGTTTTCGAGAGCGAATATTCAAGGAAGAAGTATTACTATGTCGCTGGGTACCTGTTCCCTGCCACAGTGGTCGGCGTTTCAGCTGCTATTGACTACAAGAGTTACGGGACAGTAAAGGCGTAAGTAATTGCAAGTGACCTGAGTGTTTTTCAAGTGAATAATTTTTTAAAGCCTGTTAGCTGTCAGCGAGGGTCCTTGACAGACTAAAATAGCATCTGAAAGGTTTACTGGGGAGAGAATGGGCATGCCGTGCACAAATTACAATCAAGTCTTCTGTAATTTTCTGGGTTCAAAGGATTTGTTCTCTGGTGAGGCAGATTCTAAATTATGGACTTTCTTTTTTTAACACAAAAGATTGACCTGAAACAAATTGAAAAAGTAAATAACTTTTGGCCTCAGAAAGTTATTAAGTAAAAATTCTCCTGAACTTACACATCTGACTTAAGCTAACGCTTCGTTAACTCACGCGTGCGGCTGACTCCCGTGCATGGCGACACCAGCACGCTCCTTCCTGTGTCTTGTGCTTTGATAGGATTTTGACCAGGGACTTTGAGAGGATTAAAATATGCTAACTCTCTCTTGTTCCTAAAAAACACAGATATGTACAGAGAGCAGCAGAAGGAAGACATAGCCGTATTTCATTTGCTGAAGTCATAAATCTGACTTCCAACTCCATTTGGTTTTTTTTCCCCTCCGATAAAATTATCTAATAAGATTTATTTATGGTCAAAGAACCCATGACTGTACAGATAGTGAATATAAGGAAAACTCAGTAAGGATTTAGAATTAGATGAAATATGGACCACTAGCTACAGTGTGTCTTAACGAGTTTATGCTTCATATATCTTTTAATGTGACAGAGCTGTGAGTTTCTATTTTTTTCCCCACATATCTGTCCATTCCTGATGGAGGTATTTATTCTATACTGTTTTGCCACTGACACCATCTGAATGCTCACCCTTTAAATTCCATTGAGCCGTTCTATTCTGGTTAACCCAAGAAAGATTTCTGAAGACTACATCCAGAGTTTGAGAATGACAACCCAGTGTGGAGTGCTGTTTGGGATCATTTCTAACAAAGGGGAGGTCCCAGGCCTTGGGGGCCGGGGTTCGCCTTCAGTTTTCCCTACGAAAACTTCTATCCAGTCCCATGTTAACCTGCTATAGGATGAAGTAGATGAATCACTAAACGTTGGGTCCAGGCCAACTCAGAACCATTCATAAAACTCTTCCCGCCCATGTTAATGTATTTTCAAAGGCAGATGAAGGGGCAGTTTTTTGGCTGAGTTTTGATGGCTCTGTGTCTTTTCGTAACTTAAGGACTGGAAAAGGTACTTAATGGGTTCTCTCTCCTGTCCAATAGCTGCTGGCTTCACGTGGATAACTATTTCATATGGAGCTTCATTGGGCCTGTCACTTTCATTATTCTGGTAAGTAAACTCCATGTCCACAGCGTTTCCAGTTGCTTCTGCAACAGGGTTACTGAGACAAAGATGGACCCTCTCACTGCTGACTGTTTCTACAGTCGAAGATGCGGAAGCACTCCTATTACAAGGACAACGTTGTATATAGCATGTTTAGACTCTTATCATTATTTAAATTTGTACATTGGCTAATTAATTATGCCTGAAGATGACCTCTCCTGTGAGAATTACACTGTGCTATTTTTCTAATTCAGTCTGCTGAATCAGCATAAAAATTTAAAAAAACAGAATAAAATAAAACAAACAGAACCATCAGCCGTGCTAAGAATTATTTGCCTTTTTTTTTTAAAAGGCACATGGACATAATTTATATTTTTTCCATTCTGATAGCAACTTAGTATTTTAAGAAAATGTTCGTACCTTAAATTCTTTTAGATCAAAAATCTTTATAAAGCTTAGATTAGCAAATGACTTAAATTCACTAAAAATATTATTTTTGAAGACTCAAAATAATTTTGAAAAATCAGTAAAAATTTATTTTTAAATGAATTTTCTGTAGTAGTTACGTTAATGTGTTTTTCAAGCCTTAGAATCTATAGTCATATAGATTTATCATTTAAACTTTTGACCCAGTTATAGTACAGTGTAGATAGAAATGGGCATTACTAGCCTTTAGAAGCTTGAAAAGATAACATAACAAGTTTAAATATCATCTCTTCAGAATTCATATTCTTAAAGTGACTGGGTATTGCTATTTTAAATTTCATTGCTATATAATTTTTTAAATTTTCTTTTCCAAAAAAAAGTGACTCATAGACTTTTCAGGGTGTTTTAATATTAGTGTTTTTTAAAAAAAAATCTGAAAGGAAAGCTCACAGCTCAATCCGTAAAGTCCTTGCTATGCAAGCATGAAGACCTAATAAGTGCCATCCCAGTTGCCACGTGAAAGACATGTAAATGTAGCACAGAGATCCTGTGACCCCAGAATTGGCAGGACAGAGACAGTAAGCCCCTGGTCCTTCAGTCAGGGCAGACCAGTCCAGTCTTCAGCTTCATTTCAGAACAAGCGGTAAAGCCATGGGAAGAACACCGGACGTGGAGCTCACACAAACAATTAGTAGAATTTGCTCTTGAACTAAACTTAAAATGTCTAAAACTACTGTGTTCATTTAATTCTTACTACAGTTTTTTTTCTCATAGTTACTTTAACAGAGGAAACTGAAAATGGTGACTGGTGCCCATGTAAACCACTGACATATCGTCAGCGTTCTTGATGCTTTCTCATTAGATTATTCTGTCCAGGTCATGTCCCCGGTTCTGGCTCTTAATTTTGTGAGCACATGCTCAGTGCATTCTAGAATGAAGGAACTAATGGCTGCCATGTAACATTACCATTCTTAAAGACATAGCTCCTAAAACAAACCCACTTGTTCTTAGAAATTAAATACAGCCGGGCAGTGGTGGCGCACGCCTGTAATCCCAGCACTTGGGAGGCAGAGGCAGGTGGATTTCTGAGTTCGAGGCCAGCCTGGTCTACAGAGTGAGTTCCAGGACGGCCAGAGCTACACAGAGAAACCCTGTCTCAAAAAAAAACAAAAAAAAAACAAAAAAAAAAAGAAATTAAATACAAAGGCTGCTTTAGGGATGTCTGGGACATGAAAATGTTTCGTGTTTACTTCTATTGACTAAGATTTATATCTCCAAAGGTGAGCACTAATACATAAAAACCATTTCATTTGGAAAGTAAGTTAATGTGTACTCAGTAAGAAAGAGTACAGATACTTTAGTGCACTGCCCATTTTTCATGGATGCTCACTGTTTATTAGTCTCTGGTTCCGTTTATACTCTATTCCGCCTTCAGACTGAACTATGAAGGGCTTTGGGTAACATTGTTGCCAGCCTAAAAACAAACCAAAGAAACCAGCAGGTAGCTATTGTATACAGATCTCCTTGAGCTTCTGAGATTGCTTTGCCTTTTAATCATCCCAGCACAGAGAGAATGCAGAACAGTATCTTGAAACACAATGTCTCACCTAAATTGAGAAATAAGATCTTACAGCATATGTATACTGAAAACACATTTACCAAAGTAGATACTGTGGTGATACAAGACACTTAGAATCTAATTTTTACATGAATCTTAATAATATAAGCTATATTTTATACTGTGTCTATAAGGAATATCCTTATAACCAAACATTCCTTGTGATTCCAAGAAAATACATTTTGAATTATAACTTTTCTGAGTTAAAACCACTTTAACTCAATAGTACTAAATAGGTATACCTCTATTACTGATCTCTGAAGAAGAATAAGAGGCTATGGGAAATAAAACTTCCTACTTAATGCCTTTCTATAGAATGTCTTGCCTACAGGCACTGGACTTATTATATCTATGAGAAAAGTGCCAGTTAGTAATGAGCAGGGGAAGCCATTAGTATGCCTGAAGTGGTTTAATGAAGCCTTGGATCCTGACGCGTCAGGAGCTGTTCTTATCATTTGGACAGCTCCATCTGCATCATTAATAATTAATTCAGTTCAGTGAGAGTTCAGCTCGCATGCTCACTTAGAAGTCTTCTTCAGAGAACACCTCTCTTGCCGCTCGTCCAGGGGAAATCGGTTTCTGCTTGGCTAACAGCAAAGATCTGGAGACACAAGCCTGGTCTTAGACTCGCATTTGCCAGGTAGCAAAAGCTCCAGGGAGGACAAAGAGGGTCGGACATGTGCAGTTCAGCCAGGTTATTTCAGAGCGCTGTTTCTGGTCTTCTGTCTTATCATATCCATGTCAGCCCTGCAAGCTATGGGATGAATGTTAAGCTGCTGAGCCCAGGCCGATCTGATTCAATGGAGCAAGTTGATGACCATGAAACAAACTGTGCTTTCTTCTAGTCCCTGGGAACTTTTCCTTTGTAAAAACCCTTTTGTATGGTCATGCTAGCATTATAGGTGATATTTAACTTAGTGCTGTTAAATTAACAAGGTCAGGTTTGAATAATATTCTATGCAATTATGATTTGGGTATTAGTAGTCGTTGGAAGATTGCCCCAGTTTAGTTGATTGGTTAATTGTCTGTCTATCGATCTATCTATCTATCTATCTATCTATCTATCTATCTATATCGATCTATCTATTCTTTCTATTTGCTGAGTAGAACTTTATCCCTTCTGCTGCCCCCTTTAGGCGTGTACTCACCCATATGCACACACGAGCCCACAGTGTGGTGTTTATGTAGCATTGATTCCTATGGATTCCTGAATGAATTGCTCCTTGCTCCCCAGTTACCACTGTCCGCTGAGGCTGCAGGTTTGATATGCATACGTAACACAGTTCTAATAACGTAAATCTACTGATTTATGTGAATAACTGGGTTTAGACAAAGCTTTGCCTGTCTACCCTAGCACACTTTCTTATCCCCTGATATGTACTCTTTTAAGCTATCCTCAAATATTGTGTTTAAACTCATTAGCATTAAGAAGTATTTGTGGGGGGGGGGAGACCAAAAAAAAAACAGAGGGTGGGGCAGAGGCTGTCCTACTCAGACAGGACAAGGGACAGGAGCAGGGACTGTCTGCCTTCCAGTGAGAAACAGGAAAATGTCTGTCATTACTTCTTTGATTTTTTTCAAAGCTTATTGAAGACAGGAAAAATAAAATGGGGAAAGAAAAAAGTTAAAAGTAAATTTTATTCACTTTTTTTTCATTTAATTTGTTTTGTTATTTAAAAAAGACAAAGCAGAAAATACTAGTGTGGACTAGAACATCATTTATGTCTTGAGAAAAGTGTACAGAAGGAAACTCAAGTGTGTGGACAGTCATGTACTTGAGCACCATCTGTTCTGTCTTGATGTGACTTTACTGAACCATACATGAAAGCTGCTTTTACCTGCTTTTCTGTGTCTAGATCTAAGCCCCACAGTTCCATTTTAAGAGGGTCAGGAAGAAGTAGAGGAGAAGGTAGAGGTGGAAGTATATTGAAATATGCTAGCTGGAAAAGCCATAATTCTTTGGTGGGGTGTGCTGCCTCCTGAAAAATCATAGCAACAATATTTATTCTATGACACGAATTTAGCATTAAAATATTCAAACGTTGGAAAACAGCGGAGAGTATGAGACACCATTGTGCTTCACCCCGGACTCTCTGCCAGTCCAGGAGGATGTTCATGCTGTGTGTGATGGTGGGTGGACTCTTCACTGTTCAATATCTATGCCATAAACATTTCTTCCAATTTTCAGTACACTGCAAATAATATACGTCAGTGAAATTTTGTTATTTAATAGGCATGGAGGAAACTCTTAGACGGACTTTTTTTTTTTTTTTTTTTTTTGCCTTAAGAGTTTGTCCTGTGAGCCTCCTTTCATAATTAATTTGTTTAGAACTCATGGCATTTTGTCTTACTAAATATACCCTTGCTCCTTTATTTCTGTGTTTTCAAGTCATTTTTCCTCAGAGGCTAAGGCCGTGTGTGAGTTAACTGAGAGTTCTATGACAGTATGTCATTAGCTATCATTTGCCTTTTTTCATTTCCTTAAATTGGAAACTTTGTAGACGTTTGAAAAGCAATTTGAATACCAAAACCCATTGGGCATTTTATTATGTTTTCTGTCATTTTTTTTGCATTGTATTTTTTCCATCATACGTTTTGGTGGAGTATATTGTATATTTATCATTAAAGTTATTACCACCTCAGTCTTCTTAAAACACTTGGCCTTAAAAGTTAAGGTGTGGTGTACGCATCGTTAATTCCAGCACTTGGGAGGCAAAGTTCTAGGCCAGCCGGAACTACATAATGAGACCCTGTATCAAAAACAAACAAACAAACACATCCTCTCAATTCAGAGCGTTGAAAGATAAAGGGGGTTGAAAGACTTCATCTACTTTTGTAAAGAAGGTCATTGCGTTCAAGAATTGGAGTCCATTTGTTGGTTTACCTTGATGTTGGGTGGTTTATATGGAAATTGAGTGTCTTTCAAGCGGCTGCCACCCTAACTAATACACAGGTATCCAAACTGAGAGTCACAGCAGAGCCTGGCCTCGCTGCTACAGTGTTCTGCCCTTCAGCCATTCCTTAATGTTGCTAGTTAAGGATACTGCTGCTTAAATAGAACATTAATGGCACTGTTGATTTTTTTTTTTTTTTTGCCTTTTTAAAAAGTGTTAGAAATCCTTATTACCACGATCCTTTAAAAAGTCATCAGTGTTTACTCCATTACTACACAGAGTTATAATTTCTCAGAGGCCAAGTCCATCTTTGGTGTCCACAGTAGGATAAACACATCCTTGTATAGCACAGGCCAGTCAATAAAATACTTGTTGGGTAAAAAGTACTTTGTGGTCCATCTCTGAGGATAAAAGCATGTCTATAAACCAGCTGGAAGATTCTTGTAAAAATCAAGCAAGAAATGTTCCTATGGTTTTATCTCCTGTCTGATAACTCTTTTAAGAAGTTAAATACCCTTAAGGGCAAAATAGATATTTGTTGTAACTAGCATGGAAGGGTGGACCATCTACTAGCATGTGTAGTTGTGCCTATGAACCTGTTTTTAATTCTTAAAGGAGGAAATTCTACATCTAAGAGGAGTAATAAAGCACATCAGACAAAAATAATTTAAAAAGTATTTGCCTTGTTCCCAAACTCTTTAGTGGGGACAGCTGGAGATTTTTAATGAATTGAGCTATATAATGCTTCCTGATTATAAAAGCAATAATGGATTCGTGTGAGGTCATGTACTTGTTTGGCACTGTGAACAGGCGAACAGGGGTATGATGGTAATACAAGTACATTGGTATCTCCTACCCAGAAACAGTCCATTTCCTCACAGTGTTTCCTGAGTCTTCCTCGGGTTCCGTAGGCCCCAAGGTCTTGCTGAGTTCTCAAAGAACCATGAACTAATGGATTTATGAATGAAGGAATGAAATGTCACAAGCATGGTACCAGGGTAGTCAAGCTTAGCTCTGGTTTTAGGATCTAAATAGAATAGTGTTCCCCTCCGCTCCCAGCCTGGGGCAGGGAGCTACTGCATTTCACCAGCCTGTATCTCTCCTCAGTCAAACCTGTAGGGAATCCAGGCCTTCTGAGTCAAATTCCATCTCTCATGGTTTGCGTTTGATGGTCCCTAAAGTGTTCATTCAGCTGAACACTTAGTAGGACCTACTTTGTTGGAAGTATCTAAGTTTCCTGTAGTGTAAACATGGGAAGAAAAGATGAATGGCTTTTAGCGTTAGGTAGGAAGTATGCAGACGATAAAAACTTTACCTTCTCATTGATAGTAACTGTTTCGTGTACCGTGTGTAATTGGTTGCCTCTCAGTTACCTTAGTGTAGATCATACAAATGCCATTTCTTGTGTTTAGTTGGTCAACATCAGGAAGTAGGCTATCAGCCAGGTCTCTAGAACTCAGCAATTCTTCTACTGCAGGTACTTGATACAAATGTACTTCTCAGAGTTTTCTTCAGGGTCTCTATGCGATGGCTTTCAGGCCTTGGACTATGTTTAGCTAAAGAAACTAATCTAGGTTGTTTAATTAATGTAATCATTACCACATGATACTGGCTTAATGAGCCTACAGTTCCGTGTCAAATGATCTGTTAGGTCTGTCCTAACAGCCGGGGTGGTTTTCCTCACAGCCTGAATCTATCACTGTACGCATAAATGAAACTGACTCACTGTGTACGGTGTCCATATGCTGCGGGGACTGAACTGGGCGAACTCATTAACGACATTCACAAAATGTATTCTTCTCGCAGTCCATAGCGATCTAACCCATGTTTCTTTATCTATTAAAACAGCTTAATATTATTTTCCTGGTGATCACGCTGTGCAAAATGGTGAAACATTCAAACACGTTGAAACCAGATTCTAGCAGGTTGGAAAACATTAAGTAAGTATTTTGTATTTGAACTGTTATACTGGACGACCACAGTAAAAGATATTCTCCACAGGGAACACAGGCGTGTCTGCCTTCTGGCAACTATAGAAGGGATTCTGAATTAAATTTTACTGATCAAGGTTCAATTTCCCCGTGACCACAATTGCAGGCATTGGTCCAGAAGTAGATAATTTTTGACGGGATCTAGAGCAGAGAAATTGTTTCTGTGGCTTCGTGGAAATTTCATGTCACTGTAGTGATTTTATTTGAATTTAAAATGTGATTCCAAATAATGGTCCTGTTTGCATGGCTGATATGATTATATTAAGTTTGTTTTGTTAAATGACTTTGATTTAAGAATTCTGAGCAGTTCCTCCTCCTAATCCTGTTTTCCTAAGAGAATTTACTCTGTTACTATTGTTATCTCGAAGATTATCTGTTGTTTTCATGCTAATTAAACCGTGTTTACTTTATCTCAACGTTGAATAAAATCTGCAATATTCTATTAGTGAAAATGCTACCTAATTAACCCAAAATTGATAGCTGTTGATTCATTAAATCAGCTATGGAAGCATTTTCAGATTTATTTTTAAAATGTGACTCTTGGTATGGGATTCAAGGAGATATTAAATTTGGGGATGCCAAGATTGTGAAAATACTATTTTTAATGTTAAAAATGGCAGATCTATAGTAAGGGTAATATTTTTTTTTAATTAGATGTTTTAAATAGGTTAGTGCCAGCTTCATTGCATGTTGCATGGTAAGAGAGAGAGCTAATCATTAGCGTCTCTCTCTTTTCTTCCCTTTCCTCTTTCTGTCTTCTCACCTATACCAGTAATTACCGTGTTTGTGATGGCTACTATAATACGGACTTACCTGGGTAAGGCAGAACCCTACATTAACAAACTTCTTATGGCATGATTTTATATATTTTTGTTTTTGCAAATCCGTCAGTATCATGAATTGCTCTTAATTTTTGTAGTTATTTTTGGAGTGTCTAATTTGCTGTAGTATCCTTAAACTATAATGTGCCTTTATTTTTTTTTAATTGCTTGCCTCTGCATTTTGACTTCCTTAATTTTGACTGATTTATAAAATATAGAAATGAGTTCTTATTACTTTCTATTTTAATTCTGTCTAATAATTTTGTTTCTCTTTTCTGCTTATAATGCTTTCTAGCTATGAAGATAATAAGCCATTTATCAAGTAAGATCATTAGTTAGACGTGGAATGCAATGACTTTAAGCCCTTCTCATTCCGCCCTGTTTTCTGCAGTTCCTTTCGCCTTAAGCTATTCATGATGAAATCTCTGCCAGAATATTTTATTTTGAAGTTTTATTTTGAAGTGTGTGGTTTTTTTCTTTTTTTTCTTTTTTTTTAAATCTCATTTCAGCTAGGTCTTTTCATACTCTCACTGTAACTTCGTAGGCCCACCTCCGACTAGTTTATTAGAGTCTGAAGTTTAGGCTTTCTGTGATTATCTGCCATTTAACCTTTCTGTGGGTGTGTCATGTTATCTGATATCATATGAGTATACCACAGGAAGAAAAATACAGGAGTAAACTAATTAAGGACTCCTTATTTTCTTCCACTAAAATTCACGAGAAAGGCAATAAAGCCACGGGGGATATTTTTTTACACCTTGCATTTTAATATAGTTTTGATACCTGTTCATTCTGGAGCGAGAAAAGGCCCTACCTGCTGTTGCTGTGCTCACTGGAAGCTGCAGTACTAAATGCTCTTTTCTCTTAATCGGTGAAAGGTTAAAGCCAAAAGCTGTTGAATTTGGGTGAACATAGAGCAAGTCGCCCTCTACCACTGAGTCGTTACTAAATGAGAAATAAGTGTGACTTCCTTCATTGAACCTGTTTAAAAAAAAAACAAAACACCAATCCACTTTCTTTTTCCAGGTCTTGGGTGCTTGGCGCGTTTGCCCTGCTGTGTCTCCTGGGCCTAACCTGGTCCTTTGGGTTGCTTTTTGTTAACGAGGAGACTGTTGTCATGGCGTATCTCTTCACCGCCTTTAATGCTTTCCAGGGACTGTTCATTTTCATCTTCCACTGTGCTCTTCAAAAGAAAGTAAGTAAAGGGCATCTCTGAGGAGAGCCTCAGTGCCCTTGGCCTTCACTTGAAAATGGGTCTATGGAAGGCTTCTCCAGAAGCTAGCTCGTTCATCAACAGCGTCATACCTCAGTTGTCTGTAATACCTGTGTAGAAACATAAGCGTCCATGCAGAGTTGCAAAGCAACGATCATCTTTTGAATCTCTGTTTGGAACTGCAGCAAACTAGACACTTATGTTAAGAGTCCTCTGATGGAAGGGTTTGTGAAATATCTGTGCATAGGTAAAAGCTTACACATACACACATACACACACAAAAACACACACACACGCAATACAAGGTTAACTTCGGTCGTAGCTCACTAACAAGAATGCAGTGGTCCAAAATGAAAACAGCATTAATTTTTGAAGACCCAGACATGCAAAAGATTAATATTGTTGTTGCCTTTTGAGAGATTTCGAAAGATCTAAACCAGCCATCCTTTAGTGCTTCACCTCTGATTACTCTGTCCTGATTTCATGCACATGAAGTGGAGTCAGCAAATATGATTTTGAAAAAGAAAGCTGAGGATGAAAACCTTGAGTCTGTAGCTAGAATCAAGGGAACACTTAGCTGTCATGTAAGTGTAAGATGTCTGTGCCTCTCACCAGAGTCGCCCTTCCCCGCCTGCATGTCTGATGGAGTCTTTTGATTCCGTTATTACTAGTTGGTCACTAAATTGAACAGAGAGAGAGAACTGTGAAAGTGAAAACTATTAAGTTTTCAGCCCTGACAAGATGATAGTGTTGTTACTTCCATCGGTTTTGAATAAGCTGTAATTTTGAGATAATGATGGTGGGAAGTGGAATACTGACAGATAATGTACAGTCACAGCAATATAGGCATTAGGCAAAACCAACACTGGAGGATGGTATTTGGATAAAATACCATTTTGATTGCCATTGTCTTGGTTATACAGCCTTTCAGAGCTACTAATAGCTGTTACGTATGTAGGAAATTTTTCTAAGGTAGTCTGTGTTTTAATAGCAATGTACTGAAAAATCTTAAACATTGTCCAGGGATAGCCTTGGTAACCACTGTCTTTCTATGTAAAGACATACTATGTAAATGAGCATTCTGCATACAGCATACCATCACAGATTGATCATTTCCCAAAGGCTGTGTCCATCAGCTTTGATGTAAAGCAGCAGAAGCCTTAGCATCAGAAGCCTGAGGAGATTGCTTCTTCTTATATCTGTGTGACCCTTGAGTATGGAGTGCTCACTGTATTGTTACGTTAATAACTACACTTTAAAAACATCATGTGTCCTGCACTTCTTCTGAACATGTTCTACAGTCTTATGTGTGTCTTAGTGAGTATTGCCATGGTAGATTCTTAAGAATATGACATAAAATGGTTAAGTTGAAAAATAAATAAAATAAAAGCTTGTTTTGATGCTTGAAGGTGCACAGGAGGGCCCAGGAAAGCTTAATGCTGTTCCTGTTTGTTCTAACATGTATCACTTCATGAACTGAGAAGGTGACCTGCCGTCGTGCTTAGGCTTAGAGGGTCGTCTGTTGGCAATAATTCTCTCATTTTGGAAGGAGTCTCAGTCTGGACCTTTGTAGGGAGGTAACAGATTAAATATGAGGAGGGGATGGCTTCAAGTGTTCTGTAATCTACTAGAAAATCTTTTTGTTTTGTTTTCAGTTTTTCCTTGTCTACCTTAATTTCAAAATCTAACTTTAATGCACAAAACCCATGTTAACCCACCAGTATAGTGAGACCCACCCAGCAGCCCCTTTCCACGGCTCCCTCCCTTTATACCACTCGCTGTCTGAGAGAGGGGGAGCTGGGGGTGCATCTCAGTGGCATTGATTTCACAGTTTGAAGGTTAAACTGAACTTCCTTTTAGGCTAGTCAATGTTTGTGTCTAATCGTATGCGCCAGCTTCAGGGAACAGAGCAATGAGCTGGGTAACTCGCTGCTATGAACGGAAGCCACACGTTAATGTGCCGTGTGCTCGTGAAGTGCAGAGTGCCGTAGGTCCCCACAAATGCCAAGGGTGACAGAGCAGAAAACCAGGAAAACAACCTTCCTACTGACAAACGTATGACAGTACTTCTTCTTGCCTTTGTCCTAGTGCCAAAGGTGCCTTGTTTGTGCAATGTAGAAGTTCATGTATTGACTCCTGAGGAAGGCTAAACTCATAAAACATCCATGATGGACTTCCAAATTGGTTACCCTACAGACAAGCATTGAAGATGCTAAATCTTTTGTATCATTATTTCGCCAAAATAATAGTCACTATTCAGATAGAGCAAACCTTTACTGTATCACTTTTGTATTAATAATCAGAATTTGCGTAACAGTCACAGACTGCAAAGCACCTCCAGATAAAATCTTAAAGCTACCGTCAGCCTGGCTTCAGGATGGACAAAGGTTTACGTTAGTGACTAAAATATTTCATTCCATTGCATTTAACCTGAGTTGAGTTCAACCTATCTTTTCCGTGGAAGTTTAGCCTTTCCCAGTTGTCTTCATTGCTCGTTCAGTCAGAGAGAACGGAGAAGCCGGTGTGTGCTCATATCAATCCTCTGTCTTGTGCTTTCTCAATCCAGGTACGAAAAGAGTACGGCAAGTGCTTCAGACACTGGTACTGCTGTGGTGGCCTCCCGACCGAGAGTCCGCACAGCTCTGTGAAGGCGTCCACCACCCGCACCAGTGCTCGGTACTCCTCTGGCACACAGGTAACTGAGAGCTTGACACCATCTTCTTTCATTAGCCTTATTTATAGAAAGCCCGCAGAGACATGTTTTGTTTAGACACACTAATCGTTTGCTCCTTGTCCCAATGTAGTTAGTAAGTGCTCCACTTTTTTGATTTCAGTCTCTTCTTAAATATGTATTCTGGGTATTGAGGTATGTGCATCCTTTTCTGAGAAGCACAGTCTGTTCATATTCCAAGGTCATCTAGGGACAATTTTTAATAGACACAACACATTCATTTAGTAATTCTCCACTTTAAACGAGACCATAAAATAAGAGGTAAGGAAGGAAGACGAAAGCTAGGTGTGGTGATACAGACCCGTAATCCCAGCTCTAGGGAGGTGGAGGGTGAAAATGCATAAGCATCCTTGGCTAGAGTGAATTACTGCCAGAGTGGCCTACATAAAGCCCGTCTCAATAAGTAAATAACAAACAAACAGACCCACACAAGGTGTTTCAATTACAGCCTGTACTAGAGGTATTGCTGTCCTCATTTTTGGACCAACAACGAAACACATTCTTAAAAGGCCCAGACCGCAGTGGTGCACTGATGATGGGGGGCGGGGGGAGATCAATGTGCTGTCATCGAGGAAACACAGGAAGCAAGGTAACGTGCTCGTCTTGCTGTTTGTCGTCAACAGAGCCGTATAAGAAGGATGTGGAATGACACCGTGAGGAAGCAGTCTGAATCGTCTTTTATCTCAGGTGACATCAATAGCACTTCTACCCTTAATCAAGGTCAGTTATCGGGGGAATCGAGGGGACAGCGTGAAGGTTGTGCTTGTGCGAGCTTAAACTGAGGGAAGCCAGGGGACAGCGTGATACAGCCCGGAGGTTGTGCTTGTGTGAGCGTAGACTAAGTCTAGAGATGGTCTTCCTACCCGTGACTCTACATCACCAGTTATTAAACTTTGGGGGGGGTCAGCGTATAGCATCAGTCATCAAAATATGTATAGTTTTATATTATTTCCATCAGGTAGTGGAAGGAAGTTTAATTTACAGCTCCAAATTAATAGAAAGTGGGTGGAAAAATTAGTTGTTGAAAATGCACCTCGTTACAGAGCAAAATGTTTCTCTGAATAGTGCACACCTCTCCTTCCTAAGGCATCCAGGCAAGTTATCTTCCTTCAGTTACTACTAGAAGTAAAGTAACTATTATTTATGTAAAATGGTGCCAGCTCACTTTGAACATTTGCTTAGTTTTGGCAAAGATCCTTTATTTTATATTTCTAGTGCAAATATTAAGTGGTAAAACATTTGTAGTAAATTAAAATGCATGGAAGTATATAAACCAGGTTCCCCCATAGCGTTCCATGGATTGAGTATAACCAATTTAGATGCGTAATAGAAACCATTTTAGTTCCTACACGATAAAGGTCAGAGATGGCAAGCCAAACAAGATTAAGGCATAAATATGAAAACCACCGGTTCTTCCGAATAGAATTTCGGACGGCATTTCAGTCAAGTATGGAGAATTTGAATTGTTTTAAGTTTTGATTTAGTGACCTGGGATAGCTACGTAGTTGTGTAGATACAACTGCCGTGACGAGGTTCAGCTGTGTGTGGAAAGGGTAGCTGTATGCCGTCCATACCAGCCTAATCTTACCCTCATCTTAGTCAAATAACATTAGAGGTGCATAGGTGTCTGACATAGCCGTTTCAGTGAGTGAAGTCTCCTTTGCACCTTTGTCTAGTGTTACACTCATTCTCTTGACATGGCTGTCACATAGGAAAGTTTTAGACTCACTTCTGAAACCTGGCAAATGAGAGTACAGAACAAACATGCTTGTCCTGGTCTAATAATTCTTGTGCCTTCCCCCCTTCCCCCCGTCCCCACCAGCATGTGTGCTTTTGCCTTTAATAAGTGCAGCCTTTTGCAGTTTGCCGTCCTTCTCACATGTCTGTGGAAGCTGCTCTCCCCCCTGCTTGTGTGCGAGTCAGTATTAACACAGATGTTTTCATGAGGGACGGTCCTACACCTGTAAGTCTGAAAGTCTGAGATTCCCTCTGCTGGGCCTCGGTGGTTAGGGTTGTAATATTAAGCAGTAGCATCATGAAGCATAACGTTGATCTCCGTGCATTTAATTGCCATTTTTGTTTAACAGTGATTTTGTATAAATTAGTAAACGTCATTCTCAGCAGGTGTTTACTTGGGAGACTTAGAAAGCACCTGCGAATTACCAGAATTTAACTTCCCTCTCCCCTCTCTCCTCCAAATTAGTAGTTCAAATACAGTCAGGAAAATTCCGACAGACTTTTCCGTTGCCAGCCCTGCCCACTGCCCGATGAATGAACTAAAAAAATACTGCAACTGTAACCCTGAAACAAGCACTGATGGACTCTTTTTTTCTGTTTCTTTGCTTTAGGAATGACTGGCAATTACCTACTAACAAACCCTCTTCTTCGACCCCACGGCACTAACAACCCCTATAACACATTGCTCGCTGAAACAGTTGTATGTAATCCCCCTTCAGCTCCCGTGTTTAACTCACCAGGTGTGCTTACACTTACAAATAAAACTATCTTTCTGTGCTGCTAAGCAGAGCTCTGAGCCTATTTCTAAAATAACTCATGGCTATATATTTATTATTCTTACCTCTTTACTGTCTCAGATTAAGAAGTAAGGTGTTGCCCGTGCCAGGCGTGTAAAACTGCACTATATTATAGTAAGCCCTCAGTCGTGATAGGTTTGCAGTAACTGTCCATGTTTTTGACACAGGTGGCATAAATCTTAATATATTATTACAGGACTGACATCACATGGTCCGAGAGCCCATCTTCAAGATTTATATCATTTAGAGGTATCCTATCTATATAATATATTGTTCAGTTGACTCTAAACCTTGCTGACAAATTTTGCTTCTGGAATGAGTTAGCTAAAGATGACTTGGATGTCCGGGTATAGAGAGCTCCACCCGGTGTTGTCAGTGGTATCAAACTATAGTATAGTGCAGCTTTATGGAGTTTTCCTGTTCTGTAAGGAACTCTGGGGGTACAGGAACTATTAAATCAGTCTGTACCCACGGCTTTTAATAAGGGGAGGGGGGAGGTCTCACTCACCTGTCCTGTTTGCTATATGCACTAGCTTATTAAAAACCTTATTTAAGAGTAATTTTTTTAAGATCTTGGTAAATTTTTAAACGTATGGTTAAGCCTAGCTTATAATGCTTGTGAATAACAGCCGCGATTAAATTAAACAGAGGATTTTGTTTCCGGTTTGTCTGTTGTTTCTGTTCTTCTTGCGATTCCTGGTTAACGTAACTGCAGCTTCTCTTTTCATTCTCTTGTTCCCTTACTTTCCTCATGCTCTCCTCTAGCAACCTACAGAGAGACAAGTATGGGAGTCAAACTTAACTTTGCCTATCAAATGTAAATTTTTTCAGCATGATTTTTTTAACGGGCACAATTAAAACGTACCTAGCAGTCATGAAGTAGACTCAGCGGGCAAGTGGTTCACAATTTGTAACAACAACAACAAAAAATGTTACCAAATTCCAACAGTGCATCTCTGTGTACTGGCTTTCATTAGTCCCAGAGTTCTGTAGCACATGCTGTCCACACTGAAGTCTGTGTAATGCTGAAATAATTTGCTCTCAAAAGCCTCAAGTACTGTCAGCCAAAATGCTTAATAATTGACTTATCATTTCTGCATTCCCACAGTAATCTTGCTACAGGCTATGCAAAGTCTTCAAGTGAATTGCCAGAACATGGGCAGAAAGAGATGCCCCTTTAAAACCAGAGAGGTCTTAAATCTGCAGTATATCATAGAAAACACCTTTTGAGTTATACCCAGCGTGTATTATTTTACACTTTGGGAGCAATGATGGCAAAAAGAAATCAAAACGATTGACCCTCCTTGCAGGGGAAACGAATGCCGACATCTTAGCCGTGCGTGACAACCGAAGAGTGCCCGTCGTGTTCTATCCATAGCCTTAAACAAGAGTGTGGCACGTTCACACTTATTTGAGGGACCCAACTCAAGTATACCAAGGAAGCCCTTTTAGGTAACAGTTGCACCGTCATTTCCGTAGTGCACAGAGTGTGCCTTAAACAGAATGGACAGCTTTTCCTAATGTAGAGATTGAGTCTTTATAAAACAGCGAGTGACAGGCAAGCCCTCGCCCTCTGTTCCCACAGGGGCTAATGCCAGCTCCATCCATTAGTATGGGTCATGAAGTTCGTAGCTCGCACAGCCCTGTTGTTTTGAAGGACGTTGTTTTCTAAGATAACTGCAGCTTTAAGAATGGAGTGAGCAGTAGAGCGGGAGCCCCTCCCCCTTTTCCTGACCCTCTCCAAGCCTTGCATACAATGCAGCAGGCTCACAGTGGCCAGTCTCCTTCCGTACCCTCATGCCACTCTGTTGACTTGTTTGCTTTCTTTTACTTTTCTTTTCAGACCTCTCTGTTAGATGATTTTTGTTTTCCCCCTTTAGGGCTTTGAGGTTGAAGAGCCTAATTTCCCATCGTGTAGACCATTTAATTTTCTCTCACGTTTTCCCCATTTGCTTGACAAACCACTGTGACGTCTTAGTTTACATGTCTCCGTGTCTGTTGAAAATCCAGTTCAAATACCGCATGTTCCCATTGTTTTCTTTCCTCCTGAATCTCTCTTCATATCTCAAGCAGATGTATCCAATCTCTCATTCTTTTAGAAATAATAATAATTATTTAAAAAAAATATGTACTGGCGAAGGCTAAACCCTTCTCCCATTCCATAGTTAATATCGTGTCTTGGTTTAATTTCTGTGACCCATACTTAGGAACCCTCCAACATTTCTGCATTTGCCCTCCATGCCTATGGTGTCTCTGGGCCAGTCTTGCACAGTAATCTCTGCTGGATCATTTGGTACTGTCACTGTGACTGATGCAGTCTGCAGGGCTGCAGGCCAACTTTGACCTTGAGAAGCCTAAGGCCATTGCTATTAAACATACTATTAAGTAGCAAACACAACTCGAAATAACGAGAAGTCCTCACAATGAAAAGTCAAGGCTGCTTTTGCTGGGAATCTAATTTGTTGAACCCTTGCTCTGACTAAGTTGCTGAAACTCAGAAATCCTTCATCATGTTACAATAAATCATTTTACTTTCTTTTATATATCAGCTACTCTTAGGCCAGATAGCCTGAGCAGACAGACATAATGCGAGTTGTCCAGAGTGAGTCACCCCACCTGCTGTCTGTCTTGTTGTTGGATGGTGCTTGTGGACCCTGGTCCTGTCAGTATGAAAGATGCCTGACTCTGTTCCACATGAATTCCTTGTATCTGTCCATTTTTTTTCCCATTCCCTTTTTTTGTTTAACTTCATCTCCAGAAAAAAGGAAATGTTAGAACGTTGTTTAAAAGTTGCTTGCCAGTTTTGTGGGCTTCTGTTGTGCGTTGCCTTTTTTTGGTTTCCGTTCTGTGGCTTGTTCCTTTTTAATTTAGTGTTGTTTAGGACAAATTCTGTTGATTTTTATTTTATGAACCATGGTCTTGTATTTCAAAACGTAAACGTCACTTACGAATTGCTTTGCATTAACTATGCAAGGGCATGGAGTGAAGTCTTGTTTGTAAATGTGTCAAAAAATTGGACCAAAACCTGATTGATGAACTACTGTGTCCCCCAAATTGATAAAGTAATATTCTGTATGCCATTTTCCCTCCCTGGAAAACAGTATCATTTTTATAACACTTCTCCCTGTTATCTAAGGGTGGCAACTATTTACCGTTGGGAATGCGGGAAAGCCTGGCACCATTGGAGTGCTAGGTTTCAAATTCAACTTTGTCCTGAACGACATTAAAACGTTTTGTATAGGAAAAGTGAAGTTTCTCGAGGAAGGCGCTGAGGCAGTAACGGTAACCCCGCCCTTTTCTGTTGCAGGACATTCACTGAACAATGCCCGGGACACAAGTGCCATGGATACTCTACCGCTCAATGGTAACTTCAACAACAGCTATTCACTGCGCAAGGCGGACTACCACGACGGCGTGCAGGTCGTGGACTGTGGACTAAGTCTGAATGACACCGCGTTTGAGAAAATGATCATTTCAGAGTTAGTGCACAACAACCTCCGGGGTGGCAGCAAAACCCACAACTTAGAGCTCAAGCTCCCGGTTAAACCTGTGATCGGCGGCAGCAGCAGTGAAGATGACGCCATTGTGGCTGACGCCTCATCTTTGATGCACGGAGACAACCCTGGGCTGGAGTTCCGCCACAAAGAGCTGGAGGCGCCGCTCATCCCTCAGCGGACTCACTCGCTTCTGTACCAACCCCAGAAAAAAGTGAAGCCGGAAGCAACCGACAGCTACGTCTCCCAGCTGACGGCCGAGGCTGACGATCACCTCCAGTCCCCCAACAGAGACTCTCTGTACACGAGCATGCCCAACCTAAGAGACTCTCCCTACCCGGAGAGCAGCCCGGACATGGCGGAGGACCTGTCTCCCTCCAGGAGGAGTGAGAACGAGGACATTTACTATAAAAGTATGCCCAATCTTGGAGCTGGCCGCCAGCTCCAGATGTGCTATCAGATCAGCAGAGGCAATAGCGATGGTTACATCATCCCCATCAACAAAGAAGGGTGCATCCCGGAGGGTGACGTCAGGGAAGGACAGATGCAGCTGGTAACAAGTCTTTAATAGTACAGCTAAGGAATTCCTAGGGCCACACGCAAGTATTAATTGATAAAGACGCTGGCAGCGGGCCCTGCAGCTCCCTCCAACTCGGCCAGAAGAATGGGCTGTGTTGGCCCGTGGCGCTCAACTGTAGGAAAACAAAACAGACTGAACCTCGCAGTTCTGTGAATTTTTATAAAACATGCAAAAACTTTGTATATACACAGAGTATACTAAATTGAATTATTTGTTACAAAGAAAAAAAAAAAGAAATGCCAACCAGGTATTTTACGTTTCTGCTGCTGTGTAGAGAGATTGTAAAAGAAACAAGAGCCCCTCCCAGCCATGTTACTTGCGGCAGTTGGTGAACTAAGTCTGTAAATAGGGCCCTACCGGTTTTTTGGTTTTTTGTTTTTGTTTTTGTAGGCCTGCATTGTATTATATACAAGACGTAGGCTTTAAGATCCTGTGGGACAAATTGACTGTATCTTACTTTTCCTGACACGACTTGGAAAAGCAGGAGAGAGATTCTGCACCCGTTTGCACTTCCCTGCAAACCTTTTACATTAAGGCAACCATTGAAACCATGTTAACCCAGTAGCAATGAAGCCACAGGCCTTATTTCAATGTCTACTCAACTGTACAATGAACTATTCTCATGAAAAAAAATGGCTAAAGAAATTATATTTTGTTCTATTGCTAGGGTAAAATAAATACATTTGTGTCCAACTAAGATATCATTAAAATAATTTTAAAAGAGTTTGGAGAAAATATTGTGTCGAGCTCTTGGTTGCACAAAATAGACAATGTTTCTTCCTCCACCCGTCCTGGAGACCTCTGCTCATCTTTGTTGATTTCCCGCTGTAGACAGCGTCTGCTGGGAACACTTAGTCCCCTTCCGTACATTTAAATCTCTTATTGCCAAAAGAGTGTGTTTTATGGGGAGAAAAACTCTTTGAAGTCCTGCCATGCCTTGCACAAATGTGGGGAAATCTGGAGGTCTTGAGTCAACCCTCTGTTTATTCTGGAACAGAGGGGAAGGGGTCACTTGGCACTTCTCACAAACTTTCTAGTGAACAAAAGGTGCCTATTCTTTTTTTAAAAAAATAAAATAAATAAAAATAAAATAAAACAGAAATATTACTCTTCCATATTCCTTCTGCCTATATTTAGTAATTAATTTATTTTATGGTAAAGTTCTAACGACGTGTAAATTGTTTCAGCAAAGCTCTGCTCTCCTTTCAAGCCCTTTGTGTAAAGCTGTTAGTATCGAGCCTACCACTAATATCCAGTGTAAAGTTTAACACGGTTTGACAGTAAATAAATGTGAATTTTTTCAAGTAGTAACGTGCACTTTTATGTATGTTAAGCAGTAGACACGACCAAGGCGGTCCTTTCCTACCCCATCCCCCCTTCTGCTTAGGAAACTTCAGACTGTAACCATAGTTACCTAAAAGAATGCAAGCAAATTTGCCCACTTATCCTTTACAGTGAGAAGAATAGATTTGTATCCTAATTATCTCTCACACAGACACAAAATCTGTAAAATGAGTTGTAGTGGGAACTAAAAATTCTGTAAAATAAATGAAGGATTATAATTCTAACACTAAATTTGGACAGAAAAATACACCTGATTTTTTTTCCTTCAATAGATTTCTAAGTATTATGCAAAGGATAGTTTCCTGAAACACAGGCTCCCAGTTTGTGAATCGTTAAAAATAGACTCCTTGGAGTGGCAAGGTCTATAATGATGGAAAGATCTTGCTCCAGATGTAAAACTTACAATTAACTTTCCGCAGACAGATCTTTCTGGTTTGTAATGTGGTCGTCTCTACCAAAGTCTTCTCAAGCGTGGTCTCAGATGCTTCTCAGTAAGACATTGCTTTCCATGAACACAATGGGATATGCCTATGGAATTTTAAATGGGTATTCTTTAGAGATATTTATTAGTTCATGTGTGTGAGTGTTTTGTCTGTGTGTGTGTGTCTACTACACACATGCCTACTACATTCAGAGGCCAGAGAAGAGTACCAGATCCCCCGAAACTGAAGTTAGCTGTAAGCTGCCATGTGGGTGCTGGGAATTGAACCTGAGTTTTCTGTAACAGCATCTGAAGTGCTGAGCCATCTCCCGAGCCGCAAGAAAAATAATTTTCAAACTTGTATTCATATAGCTCCTGGAGGACACAGTAGACCCTAGAAATGTTTGAAGGCAAGCCATACGGTCACGTGTCATCAATATCCAAGTGGGAACGGACTCCATCAGAAGCTCAGAGTCCATTTGATTGACTGGCTAAAATGCCCAGCGTTTATGAAACATTGCTAGAAGAGTGTTACAAAAAGCAGGCACTGGCATTTCAGCCTTGTTGCAAAATCCAGAGTCTTAAACTCCACACTAATTTTTGTATATAAACTAGACAGCATCAGCCTGTTTTCATCATGAATTTAAAAAAAAAAACTAATAAGAAAAAAGAAAAGGAAAGGTCATGTGGACTTTTTAGTTAGTCCCGTTTGTTTCTCTCCCAAGTCAGTTCTCAGAACTCTAAAATGATGAGAACTAGTACCTGATATCTAAGTGGTTAGTGGTCTGTTTATAAAAATCATTTTCACTAGTCTTTACCCCAAACAATACAACTTAGAAATTCATTCATCTTTGCTGCCAAAAATTAAAAAAAATAAAAAGAATATGTATATGTTGCTTTCAATCTTCTACAGGATCCCTCCTAGCACAAGGTAACTTTTAAGTTTAAAACTATGAATCTACTGGCTAGATGTGTATGCGAACATGTCTGTGTGAGCACATGCTCACACACATGCGTGCACAGGCACTCATGTGTTGGATGGATGAACTTGTCTCTAAGGATGGGCACATGTGTCTGTCAGAAGTTAACTTTAAGGTATCTTTGTTAATTACTTCAGTCTATTTTTGAGAAAGAGTCTCCCTGAACTCTGAGCTCACCACTTTAGAGAGAATAGCTAGCCTGAGAGTTTTCAAATCTTCCTGTCTCTCCCTGCAGCACTGGGGTACTAACATAGGCTGGGATCCGAACTGAGGTCCTCAAGCCTGTTTGTCACAGTCACTTTTCACACTGAGCCATAACTCCAGCCCCAAACTTTTTTTTTTAATGTTTTTAACTGCTGATAGCTTTTTTTATTTGTCCACTTGCTTTGAGTCTGCCCAAGTACTCCTGGATACACAGTTCTTACAGCCCTGTTTGGTTGTCTCAATGAGCTTAAAATGTCGCTTTGCCATTGCTTTCCCTAGGAATAACTTCTGTCTGTCTGGAAATAAGAAGAAAGCTGTCATCTGTTTATCTTAGATGTGCTTGATACCAGTTCATCTAGAGTCTCCTTTTCTAGAAAAGCCTCTCATTCTGTCTGGGAAAGTGTAGTTTACACAGTTCTACGTCAGTGTACGTAGTGATCATTTGAGTGAAAACTACTGCAATCTCACACACATACAAACCGGACAAATTCCTTGCCTGCTCTCAAAAAGGCAGATCTCATGTGCCTTCTTTTTCTGAGGGCAGAAGGAAGATGTTCAAGATGTTTCATGTATTCAGATGTGTAGAGTGGGGGTTGGGGGGGTGATTTTATGTTTCTCTCAATTCAAGCTTAAAACTCAGGCTTACACGTGAACTTTACTCTGCTTCAGTGGGGTGGGATGGGCCCAAATACTTGAACTATAAAATTTTTACTCCTTATAATTTTTCTTTAAAAAAGTAACAACTTGAAAGAATTGCCACCCAGCAAGATTTCTGGAAGGAAGCCATCTTGTCTTATTTCTTGACCCTTCCTTTTCTATAAGGATGGTCCCCAGCACATTTCACAAAGAAAGTAGTTCCAGATCACCCCCCTTTCCATCGAATGGCTGCATTAAATCTCAAGCTTCAGTAGGAAAACTTACAGGCGAGTGGAAAAAAATAGATGAGGTTGCTTCCCAGTGTAATAAAATTAAGATGTTTTGGGTGAGAGTGTCTCCCAGATGCTCCCTGCCCATTGCTTTGAGACCTCAAAGTGCACACAGACCAGTGCGTGAGCGTTCGAGTTTGGATGGCTAGGACCAGATCTGAGAGAAATCATGACGGTCTTCACTACTGTTCACAGTGGGAATTTCTGTTGGGTCAGATTGAGTCTCCAAAAGATCATACGCGAGGTTAGCCGAGACCACCACCAAGCCGGAAAGTGTGAGCGTCTGGAGGGTACAGCATCTTCAAGCAACTTGGGCTTTGCCCATATTACTTGTGCATCTTTGGGGAGAACATCCTACTAGTAGGAGCTGACAGGCACCCAAAGTTCACCTGGAGGTAATGTGTCCACTGATCTGAACTGGGAAGTCCAGAGACGCATCTTCCTGTCAAAAACAAACAAACAAAACATGAACAATAACTTTGACATTCCCAGGTAATTAATGTGTGTGTTTTTCAGTAGACCTCTCCCCAGCTCCCTGGCATACTCCTCCCTCCCCTGAAGGTATTCCTGTTCTTCTCAGAAGTCTTGACAGGCAGGTTTGATCTTAAAAGCCTATTGTTTCTGGAAGTTTTTCTCAATAGAGTGTAAGATGTCATTATGTATACAGGCCTTAGTGTTACAGATGAGTGTTTAAAGTTAGAACTAATACCTAGGGAAGTCAGTGCCAGTGAGCTTACAGCTGCTATAGATCACACCACACACACACACATACACACACACACACCTACGCACATCTTTCTATTATGTGCTTATTGAAACTGAAAGACAAAAACCTTGTGGAAATGTTTAAAAGGCGTAGTTATCCTTAAGCAAGCCAGTGCTGTGAGCCTAAGAGACCAGCGATGGCGGATCAGTCTGTGCATAGCTCTTCACAAGCATTTTTGAATTATGAGTCAGAATCCGGCTCTTGAAAAAGCATTTTAGCAATTCCAGCCATGTGGCTTTCTCATTTGACTTTATTAGGAAAAAAACAAAAAACAAAACAAACAAACAAACAAAAAATCCTTTGCTGCTCTAAAAGAACTGCAGGGACAAAAATGGAGAAGAGACTGAGGGAAAGGCGGTCCAGTGACCAGCCCAAATTGGGATCCATCTCAAAGGGAGGCCCCAACGCTTGACACTATTACTGATGCTATGATGTGCTTACAAACAGGAACCTAGCATCACTGCCCTCGGAAAGGTCCAAGAAGAAGCTGAAAGAGTCAGATGCAGGCAGATATGTGCACCCAACCAATGGACTGAAGTTCAACCCCTGTGGTTGAATGAGGGAAAGGCTGGAAGAAGCTGAGGAGGAAGGCGACCCCATAGGAAGACCAGCAGTCACAACAAACCTGGACCCCTGAGACACTGAGTCACCAAGCATACACCAGCTGGTACAAGGCCCCTGACACATAGACAGCAGAGGCCTGCCTGGTCCGGCCTCAGAGAAGATGCACCTAACCCTTGAGAGACTTGTGGCTCCAGGGAGTGGGGAGACCTGGGAGTTGGGGGTGGGGGTGGGGACATCCTCTTGGAGATGGGGGTGGGAAGGTGAGGTGAGGAGAAATCGGTTGAGGAATTGTCAGAGGGTGGACCGGGAGGGAGGGGGATAGTGATCAGACTGTGAAAAAAAGATTAAAGATAATAATAATGATGATAATAACAATAATAAAGGGACTGACAAGAACCATAGAGATCTAACAAGAGCAATAATCATAGCTTCTTACACCCAAACATAGGCTGATTTTTAAAAGATAAACTAAGTAGTTTTGTGGCATCACTGTGTCGTGTTGAAACAGGAATACATTTGCCACCATGTACCTTTTCATAGTTGCTGGTGGAGCTGGCCAGCTGCGGCTAACGCTGCGTGGTATTTACTCAGTCCTCTTCCCAATCCTCCTGGAATTTTAATTTCAAACTTTTACAGAAAAAGAAAGAAAGAAGGAGGGAGGGAGGGAAGGAGGGAGGGAGGGAGGGAGGGAGAGAGAGAGAGAGAGAGAGAGAGAGAGAGAGAGAGAGAGAGAGAAAGAAAAAGAATTTTCTCAAGGGCTCCTGGCTAGCAAATGACATCACCCACTTCAGAAGTCTTCTTTGAGTCTGAACTTCTGACCAACTTAATTTGCTTGGAGGTCAGAGAAGATCCCTCTATCTCATGGTTTGGTCTCTGCCTTCAGGGACAGGGTATCTCTGTTGGTTTAGAATCCACAGAGCTGGAAAAAGAAAATGAACTGGAGACAGTTTCTGAGATACAAACTCCTGGTAAAGATAGTCTACTTGACTAAAACAAACAAACAAACAAACAACAAAACAAAACACAACAACAAAAGAGCTAAAAACAAAAAGTAAAAACCAAAACAAAATAAAGCAAACACAAAAAACAGTTTCCGGAAGCA